AGTTGGCGCGGTGTTCGCTCACCCGTAAGTTACTTTATGTTTTTTATGTATGTTTGTGTTCTGTCTGAACCTCTGGCGCGGTGTTGACTCACCCGTAAGTTGATTTATGTTTGTTTGTGTTCTGTTTATACTTTAATGCAGCGTGAGCTCAGTAACTAACTACTTACTCCAACTACAAAACCTACACTCACCTTAGACTCCTGTATTTTGTTAGATGCAGTGTTTTTCCTAATGCACTTCCAAAATGTCATGCCTGGTTTTCTCAAAGTACTGTTGCGGGAAGTAACTCCTTTTAACTACTCCAGGTCAGGTCAGGATAATCGAGATCAATCTTGCTACTGGTATCACGTAACCCAGTACCACCTGCCACAAGCCCTGTGTGCTCTTCTTATGCAAAGGCTAGGAGAAATAAACTCCGACTAAAAATTCCCCTGCCTTGGGGCTCTTGGTTGAGTAAAGGCTAGAGATGGTGTCTCGATAAAAACACTCATCTTGGGCAGATGTTAACTGCATCCAGCTAAACATCCCCTGCCTTGGGGCTCTTGGTTGAGTAAAGGCTAGAGATGGTGTCTCGATAAAAATACTCATCTTGGGCAGATGTTAACCGCATCCAGCTACTGTCTTGTAGAAGGCCTCCTAGGCAAAGACTTTAGGGGTAAGCAGAAAAATTCTGCTAACCAGCCTCGAACCCCTTCTTCATCTATTAGGCTGGCGTAGATGTAACCTGCGTTACATTGTTTCCTGCCTAGGATCATGAATGCTGGATCTCCTTGACTCTACTCATAGAATTTTGCTTATGCCTCCTTGATAATGGCTATGCAACTCTTCCTGTTATCTCCATGAGGGTACAGCTCTAAAACTCAGTTTAATGGTTCTGAGGCCGGCTGGTAGTATGGTTTCCCGAACTCTGTGGTAGCTCTCAGAGAGGCTGATTCCATCAACAGCTGCAAAATATCAGAGTATTAACAGTGCCATGTTGCGCATGAATGGTGTCTCTGTTAATGCTTTTGGTATGCATTGTCAAGGCCACATAAGGAGCCCTATGTCACAGCTTAGGGTTAATTAACAGGACTGAGACAACTGCATAGCTCATTGATAAGGAGGCTGTGCTCTATCTATGAATGAGTCAAGTTCTCATTAAACCCAAATCATGACCAAAGTAACCAAAAATTTAAAACCTAAAAAACCAACCCCACCACCTAAATATTTTAATATATCTTTTACAAATATTCGCGGTCTACAAAGCAACTTTCCATCAGTTGAGTCTTACCTCCTGCAAAATTCACCAGACTTGCTTGCACTCAGTGAAACAAATTTAAATTCTGCAATTCCTTCTTCAGATGTCAGTGTTGATGGCTACTATCCTTTGATTCGTAAAGACTCCAATAGTCACATGCTAGGTTTAGGGGTATACATACGCATTAATTCCCCTATTTTTCGTGAAATCAGGTTCGAATCCTTTGACCATTCTTTTATGTGCTTTCGCCTAGCACCTCTTCACTCTATCACCTTTCTCTTTGTTCTTTATCGTTCTCCTTCTTCCCATGATTGCACTCTCTTAAATGTTATCTCTGATCAAATTGACCATGCCCTCTCTCTTTACCCCTCTGCCAATATTGTTGTTGTTGGTGATTTCAATGCCCATCACACTGAATGGCTTGGTTCTAACACCACTGATCCTGCTGGCACTAAAGCCTTTAACTTCTGCGTTTCTCAATCTCTTACTCAAATAGTTAACTTTGTGACTCGTTTTCCTGACAACCCTAATCATTTACCTTCACTCCTTGACTTATGTCTTGTCTCTGACCCTAGCTTATGTTCAGTTTCTCCCTTTTCTCCCTTAGGTGGTTCTGACCATGCAATGATCTCTATAGATCTTTGTTCTCGTACTTCTTTTTTGGGCTCACCTTATTGTCGCACCGCCTACTACTACCCTAAAGCTGACTGGGATTCCTTTCGTGATTTTCTTTGTGATGGTCCTTGGGCTGATGTTTTTTCTCTCTCAGCTGATAAATCCGCCTCTTACGTAACCTCCTGGATTCAGGCTGGAATGGAAGCCTTTATTCCTTCTCGTCGGTTTCAAGTCAAGCCTCAATCTACTCCATGGTTTTCTCCTTCTTGTGCGGCTGCTATATCCAATCGTAATCATTTTTTTCATCTTTTTCAAAAGAACAACTCTCTTGAAAACAAACGGCTATTTATTATTGCAAGAAATCGATGTAAAAAGGTGCTTTCTGATGCTAAACTCCATTATTCTCAGTTCACTAAATCTCGCATCTTATCGCAGAAGTTAGGCTCTAAAGACTTTTGGAAAATCTTCAACAGCATTGTTAACAAGGGTAGATCTAGCATTCCATCACTCATTCATGGCACTGATCTTATTACCTCTCCCAAGGATAAGGCACAACTATTTGCAAAGAACTTTTCTTCTAATTCCACTCTTGAATCTTATGGACATTCTCTTCCTTCCATTCCAGTCAAACAGGTTGACCCATTGTTAGACATTCAAATCACTCCGGCTTCTGTTGCTCAAGTCATATCTCAATTAAACTCGTCTACAGCTTGTGGTCCAGACAACATTCCTGTCACAGTCTTGCAGAATTGTTCTCCAGAACTTTCTTCAATTCTCTCTAAACTATTTAACAAGTGTTTGAATGAGTCTTGTTTTCCTGCTTGTTGGAAAATGGCATCTGTGGTTCCAATATTCAAAAACTCTGGAGAAAATTCTGACCCCTCTAATTATCGTTCGATTAGTCTTCTTTCTGTTATTAGCAAGGTCTTTGAGTCTTTGATCAACAAATTCCTCACATCTCATCTTGAGTCAAATAAACTACTGTCAGACAATCAATACGGTTTTCGATCCTCTCGCTCTACGGCCGACTTGCTAACTGCTGTAACTGAAAGATTTTATCGTGCATTAGATGGAGGCGGTGAGGCTAGGGCTATTGCTCTCGACATATCTAAAGCTTTCGACAAAGTTTGGCATGCTGGTCTTCTCCATAAGCTTGCTTCTTATGGTGTTTCGGGGAAAGTTTTTGATATTATCAAATCATTTCTTTCTAACCGGTTTATTAAAGTCATCCTTGAAGGCCAACACTTTTCTTTATTTCCAGTAACTTCTGGGGTTCCCCAAGGTTCCATCCTGGGCCCTGTTTTGTTTCTTATCTACATAAACGATCTTCCTGACAACCTTTCATCTAAAGTAGCTCTTTTTGCTGATGACTCAACTTTATACTCCTGTCTTGACAAAAAGTCTTCTCTTTTCGATCGCCTAGAACAAGCAGCTGATCTTGAATCTGATCTCACTTCAGTAATAGATTGGGTTTCACAGTGGCTTGTGAATTTCAACTCTAAAAAAACCCAATTGCTTACTGCAAACAACTACCGTAATATGGTCAACATTCCTATATTAATGAATGGCAATCCTCTTACTGAGTCCTCCTCTTTACGTCTTCTTGAATTATCCCTTACTACTGACCTTTCATGGAAACCATATATACAATCAATTGCTAAATTAGCTTCTGCTAAGGTTGCTTCTCTTTATCGTGCTCGCCATTTCCTTACTTCTGATTCCATTCTCTACCTCTACAAATCTCTTATTCGTCCCTGTATGGAATACTGTTGTCATATTTGGGCTCGTTCTTCTAACGATTCACTTTCTCTTCTTGACAAAGTCCAAAAACGCATTGTAAATGTTGTTGGACCTGGACTATCTGCTAAGCTTGAACCTCTTTCCCATCGTCGTAAAGTTGCATCTCTTTCTCTTTTCTACAAATACTATCATGGTCACTGCTCAAAGGAGTTATCATCTCTAGTTCCATCAACTAAAATTCATTCTCGTTTTACTCGTCATTCAGCTAAGTCTCATTCGTTTACTGTATCTGTCCCTGCATGCTCTAAAAACTTTTATTCATCTAGTTTTTTTCCCCGCACTTTAATCCTTTGGAACTCTCTCCCATCTTCATGTTTTCCTGACTCATACAACCTTCAACTTTTCAAGTCTTCTGTCAACCGTTTCCTTGCTCTATAACTCTGTTCTTTTTTTTCCTAGTAACTCCCAACTTAATAGTGGTTGCTTGCAGCCTTGTTTGGAGTGAATGCAAATAAAAAAAAAAAAAAAAAAAGTGTTGACAAGTGTTAATAAGTGTTGATAAAATGTGTTTAAAGATAGATAATCTTTATTTAATTTCAAAACTATAAACAAAAAATTTAAACTAATCTAAAATATATAAAAAGAACTTTAGTACTATTGTTTTCAAACATGTTATTCATTAAACAATTATAAATAACTTATGACTTCCGCAAATGATAAAAAGTATATCTTATTTATTAAATCAACATAAAGACTGAAATATGGAAAAAATGAAAAAACAAATAAGAAACATAACCAGGCTCAAACAATTTTATAAAATATTTAGAGAAGACATTTTTATTGAGCAGTCAGATTAAATATAAAAAAGTTTTAAGTTTAAAAAGCTTGAAACACTTCTCTACTGCAAACTACATACATTAAAGAATTAGGAAATACAAACATTACAAAGTCCTCTTACAAAGATTTTCTTTTTGAAAAAATTTGTGCATTCCATTATTATAAGTTTTAAAAACCACTTTATTTTGAAAAAATGTTCATTCCGAAAAAATTTAACTGTTAACTTGTTTCTAAAAATAAAATCTTAAAGAAAGCAAACCTGATGGATTAGACATTTTCTTAGTGTCATAAATGTTTTTAAAAGTTTAAAAATAACTTGTAACAACATATAAAAACTTTTTTTAAAGAATTGCAGCTGATTGTGAAACACCATACTTTATAAAAACTTGATTATTTATAACTTCTATTAATCATTTTAAAACATACCATATCTTTTTATTTAATATCATTTTAAAGCATATCATATATCTTTTTATTTAATATCATTTTATATAATACCATTTATATTTTTTTATTTAAAATCATTTTAAACATACAATGTCTTTTTATTTAATATCACTTTAAAGCATACCATATATCTTGCAAATTGACTGATGCAGATAACCTTTTTCCTAATTCTGATCCGGCAGTATTGCCAAACATTTTACATAAAACATACTTTATATTGGTAAAACATGCATCAAAAATCAATGCCTAAACAAACAAATAACATAACATAACTCATTATAACACTATAAGACATAACAGTTTAACAACCTGGTATTCATATTTATATTTGTGCATATATAATTTTTTTTCTTTGTATTCACAAAAAGAGTGAGCAATAATTATAAAGAACAGAACAGTAATATATTAGTATTCTAATGCCAATACTGGATGAACCCTTACTACTTGTACATTTTTTACTGGTGTCACTTTTAAACAAAAAAACGTTTTTTTTTCTGTTTGATCTTAAGTATAACTTGTGTTAAGGCAAAAATTATTGAAGTATGATAGAAACTACAACAATTCAGCTTTTGTAAGAATACCAAAATATTTATAACGATATATTATTTGAAAAAAACAATTGATAAAGTAAAAAATAACTTAAAAATACATACAACTTTTATGTATTCTTTTATTACATCGATTAATGGGAGAATTCCTTCTTTCCTAAATATAAAGAGCTTTATTAAAATATTGTAAAAGAAAATTTCTATTAAACATAGTTGTAAACACGCAGAAGACAGAAGGAGGTTTAAACACCAACTAATATTAATATCAATTTTTTAAAAAACAGATTAAAATGGCCACATTTATTGTTTTAGTAAACTTTTTCACTAAACTAAACAGTAAAGCCTGTTAAGTTTAGTGAAAAAGTTTAAAAACTTTAATTTTAAAAGGGGATTTTTAATGCAGTCAAAAATAATAGGAAAATAATGTATTATAAGATAAAACTTGACACAAAAATCTCAAAGTTGACATTATCATGGCAAAAAAAAGCATCAGGTGTATTTTTTTATGGATAATTGTTGCAAGTAATAATAAAAAAAACAGTTACAAAAAAAAGCCCTTAATAAATAAAAAACATTTATAAGTAATTGTACAAAATTTTTTGTGTTACCTGAATACAGAAGGATTCCATTGAGCAGATCGAGCAATCATAACAGAGGAGCAACCTGTTTCTTCTTTAAACTTCGCAATATTAAAATATGTTTTAATATCTTGAGAACCACCATTGGCAATTACAGGAATATTTACAGCATCTGCAACAGCTTTTATGTAATCATTGTGACAGGGGGATGAAGATCGCTCATCTTTTGTTCTTAAAAATGTAATCAAAAATAAAGATGTAACTTTTTTTACTTTTTTTTTAATCTATTAAGACTCTTAAATCTGCTAGTTGCTATAAACTCAATTTCTTTGTTCATTCATCACATTTTTAATGAGACCTTTCATTGAATAAAATCATCTGGTCATAAAATTTGTGAGCGAAAAATCAAAATCAAGAGAGTGAATTCATTCATCAAAAAATTAAAATAGAGTGAATTCATTAAAAAATCCCACTTATTCTCCCAAAATAATTAAGCAGAACAAAACCTTTTTTTTTTTAAACCAACACAAGAAATTCTTTTGACATTTTAAAGCATAACTCAAAATGTCTGAATACAAAAAAATTATTTAAAATCTTAAAAATATAATCTCTAAACATTTCAAAAAAACTGTTAGGTATGAAAATAAAACTTTTGAGTAATACCTGAAGTACTACTCTGTAATAAGTAAGAAGTACCTGCCATGGATGGCAATAGCTTTTACACCAGTAGCCTCTATTAATTTAGCTAACTCAATGGTATCACTTAGCTGTAAGTAAAAATTTGTAATTCATATTTATATCAGCAATGGTGCAATCATTGCACAAAAATAATTTACACAAACAATACTTTAATTAAAATTTTATAAAAAAAATGAAAAAAAAAAAATGAAAAAGCAAACACCTGTGGTAGAATTCTTATTTTACAAGTAACTGGTATAGAGAGATTTTGAACAAGTCCTGTTAATATCTAAATCAGATATTATATCATATTATTATATAATTTTTTTTTTAACTTTTTTGTTATTTATAATCAAAAGATTTTAATAGGGGAAAATGAGGCAAGATGGCGAATTGGAAAACATGACTTTTCAAATAGCAATTCTACAAAAAAAAATGGATGGAAACAAATGGGTTTTTTAAAATATTGTTAATCTAATCTTTTTTAAAAAAACCTTTGCTTCATATTTTTAATTACATTTGGAATAATAAACTTTGATCTTTAATCTTACAAATCTTTATATAATATTATGGGAAACCCATAAAAGAAACAATTTACTTCTAATGATTGTTTAAAAAATATTCAAACTTATTTAAATCATAGTGTTTTTTTTTTTACTAATTTAAAAATATAAGTTTCCATGTAAATACTTACTAGTAAATAATTACGCATTAAAAACCATTTCATGTTTTGTTTAAACATTTAAACATTTTTTTTTTTTAATTTGTTTCAATTAAGATTAACATTTATCATAAAAAATACATATAAATAAAAAAAACAATATATAATATTCCCTTTACATAAAAAACAATTAGCATTGTTTTGATCAGGGCTGACAACACGGGTTTCGAAATTGCTCAGTCACATTCTTAAAAAAAATTCTCTATCTAGAATTTTTGAAAAAAAAAAAAAAGTCCTTTAGAAAAAAAGTGTGCGTGTCAATGAGGTGGTGGGGGTGGTGTGTGTCGATGAGGTGGTGATGCACCTGCCCCTGGTGTTGTCGGCCCTGTTGATACTTCATTAAAAACTGTTTCAATAATATAAAAACATTAAATATCAAAATTATTTAATTGCAACAGCTTTCAAAAACAATTGTCATTTTATATTCAACTAAATTTTTTGTGTATTTACTTTAATGATTCTTATATAAAGTTCATTGAAAAGACTTTTCTAAGAAAATTGTTGCTTAGAAAAACAAAATAATTTTTTACTTTTTAATACGCTTATTATAAAAAATCTTTACTAATATAATTTATATAAGTTAAAAAAATTAAATACAACTTTCAATGAACTTTAAACAAAAATCATTATCAGTAAATTGTTACTTAAAATGTATTTCACTAATAGTTTCGTTAATTAGTAAAGATAAAAGTTTCAATGTCATTTATTTCTCTAAGATATAATTCAGAACCTTTTTCATTCAGTGGATTTTTGAAATGTTTTTTGAAATAGCCACAGTCAAATCGTCAAACCAAAATATTATTTGCCTAGTCATATAATTGCATGCAATTGCATGCCTTCCCAAGAAAGCTTGAGATAAACTTTACATTTTAATTTTTATTACAAATTTTTTACTTGCAAACTGAAAACTCATGCAGGCAATCAATAATTGTGATTAAACAAAGTGTTATTGCTTTATGACTGATAGTTTTGCAAAAACTCAGACTTTTCAGAACGTTTGTCATCTTGCCCCATCTTCCTCTATATAAATTTTACTTTATTTAATGATGATTAAATAAAGTAAAATTTAATAATATGCTTAAATTATAAACACATATAAACCCTCTATTTTTGTACTTATTAAATAATTTTATTTTTTAGGATAACATTAAATGGTCCAGAAAGTTTTAAAAAATATAAATAAATAAAACTTAACAGAAAAATTAAAATTCTTTATTCATATTCTTTAAACTATATCGAAAAATCAATTTATTTGTATGCTGAGTAAAATGCATAACTGCAACTTGCAGAATTATTTTAAAATGCATTGACTGTATAAAAAATACCTGCTTCACTTTATCAGGTTGTGTTAAAAGAGCTGCACCCATACCTCCCTAAATTGTAACAATTTTAATAACATTATTAAATGTTGAAAGAGATTTCTTTTTGCTAATAATTTTTAAGAAAAAAACTAAAGTTTTAAAACCTTGACAGAGAATTCTTTAGGACAACCCATATTAATGTCAATGCCATCAATATCTTTTTCTCTGGAAAAAAGATTCCTCAGCAATTTATTATTATCATTAATTAACTTTGACAAAAATATTTATTTCTACAAAAATATAATTTAGTAGTAACAGTTTAAAAAAAACAAAAATCAACAGTTATTTAAAAAAAAAAAGGTTTCAAAAGATAATACCTACAACATTTGTGCAACACTTAATGCTCTTTCAGCATTATTTGTTCCCTAAACAAAGAAAAATATTTATATTTACAAATAATTCATTTTTATAATTTTAATTATTTTTTTTTTTTTATAATTTAAATAAAGCTTTGTTGAAAAAAATAATTTAATAAATTCTGTAACTATAATTAATTTTAAAATATATTATCTTTTATACCATAAGTTCCTTGGTAAATCAAAAATCTAGAATAGGCAAAGACATGTATTGTTCTATGTGTGGTTTTAATTTTCACATATTTCATTTAAATAAATTTGTTGATTAAAAAATATATTTTAGAATGATTTATATAAATAATATTAATATAGAACTTAACATTTTATAAATGCTTAAAGTATCTTATACCAAAATATTATTCATGTTAAATTGTAAATATTACAGTTACACAAATGATATTTCATATTATTAAAAAAAATTTCAAATCAAGTTATTAATTGAGTTTTTAAGTTGTTTTCTTTATCAAAAGTAATAAATGGCCTAGTGAATATTTTTTGACCAAAATCAATATTAAATAAGGGGTCGTCCATAAATTACGTCACGCTATAAGGGGGGAGGGGGGTTTGGTGGTTTTGTGACAACTTATTCAAAACTCGCTTCTTAAGTGTTACGATTTTGTGATGAGGGGGGGGGGGGGAAGGGAGTTTGAAAACGGTGACGAGGGGGAGTTCGACAAACTACCAATCAAATTTTTTTTTGTAAAAAATATATAAAGAACCAATTTAAAATATACCACAACTGCACAATTTTATTTTAAACCTTTAGGAAAACTCTTTCTATTTAGATAATAAAACATTGTGGATTGAATGAGACATGATATATTTACATATTTAATATATATGAAAATTTAATAAGATAAATAAAAATCAAATAAACTGTTTTAACCATTTGAAATACTAATTTTCCTTTTTCTTCTTTACAGGTGCGAAACACTACAGTCCCGTCAGCCAATAAGAAATCTATTGTATCAAGTAACTCTAAAAAAAAAATAAAACTGAATTAAAAAAATAGAATTGAAATCTATTTAGGATCTTAGTAAACATAGCTTAAATTGTTAATATTTTTATCATATTTATTACTGTACTATACATTGTTATTATTTATCATAAATTAATTAAATTATTATTTTAACATGTTACTGTTATTTTATTTAAACTTATCATTCTGAACCATTAGTTCATATATTATTGATAATTTAATAATATTATTTAAAAAAAAAATTCAATGTGAATCAAAAGAGCATTGTATAATATCACAAATCATTTTGTATGTATGTATGTATGTATGTATGCATGTATGTATGTATGTATGTATGTATGTATGTATGTATGTATGTATGTATGTATGTATGTATGTATGTATGTATGTATGTATGCATGCATGTACAAGCCTTCTCAGGAAGCATGTGCAGATGCATGTCTTGTTTGTTCACATTTAAAATACTTTTATAAGACTTACTTTTAAAAGTATTTTACAAAAAATTACTTTAAACATGGACAAACAAGACGTGCAATCGCATGCGCTTTCTGGGAAGGCTTGTGTATGAGTGTATGTATGTACAGTCTTCTCCATTTGAAATTTAATGCCAGCGCATGAAAAAGCACTGGCTGATGGTCTTTATTAAGTTAGCCTGCGCAATTTAAAAAAATTAATTTTTTTCTGCTATTTAAATTGAAACAAAAATAGTGAAAAGAATGCTTTGAATAAATAATTTAAAAACTATTAAAAAAAACATTTTTTTATAAAAGGTTAAACAAATAAACAAAAAAGTTTTTTTTTTTACTATTTAAAATAAAACACTTATTTTTTTGGCAAGCCTTTTTTATGCCCTTGCCAAAGTTTTGGCGGGAATGTGGGCAAGCGCGAAAGCGCTGGCTAAACAGAGAACACTGTATGTATGTATGTATGTATGTATGTATGTATGTATGTATGTATGTATGTATGTATGTATGTATGTATGAATGTATTTACGTATATATGTATCTATGTAAGTATGTATACACACAAACAAATTTCAAATATATTTCAAAAAGATATTAATTTGAAGTTCACATTCTATTTCCGACTACTGTTTGGTTAAAAACCAACCGACATTATTTATTAATGATGACACAAAATTATTGAAACATACAGTCCAATGCAGAACTAACTCTGAAATTGAAATATTGAAAGAAAAATATTGAAATTAAAATACAAAACAAATTCTTTCAATCAACTGTAGTATATCAGTATAAAGCATACTTATTAGTGATTAGAGCGGCTCTTGAAACAAAATTTTGAAAAAAATATCTGATTGTGTGAATGTTCAAAATGCAAAAATTAATTCTTACTATTTTCAATTCTTTTACATTCAATCATCTTGTAATCAATTATTTCCTGTAAAGAAGTAAAGAACAATAAACATGAATATAATCAATAAAAAAAAAAAAAAATAACAACATAATAAAAAAAAAAAAACTACAAACCTCAGTGTATACAATATCAGCACCATATCTGAGTGCAAGTAATCTAAAAGGTAGTGTTCCGATTCGCACCATAGGTGCCAATATAATTTTATTAGAATAAGTTAATATCATTCTTTCAATTTAATGCTGAAAGATAATTAGATAAATAACATCATAATCGATCACATATGTTTTATGCTTTCAACTTAACTTTAAATGAATTTTTATTGGTTTATAGTGGAATGGTTTTTAAATGAATAATCAAGGTAATATTTTTTTAAGTTGCTTGTTTTTTATGTCCTTTTATGAAAAAAAAAAAAAAAAAAAAAAATATATATATATATATATATATATATATATATATATATATATATATATATATATATATATATATATATATAATATCGAGAACATTACATATTTGACCAAAGAAAAAATAATAAACAACTTTTTAACTAATAAATACTTTAAAATAAATTTAAAACAAATTTTTTTAGCATTTAACTTTTAGATCTTATAAAAACTTTATATACATATTTATCAATATATTATGAATATCAAAATTATCATATATAATATCAAGCATCATATATAATGTATCATATATAAAATAACTGTAATTAATATATATTTAGTATATATAATATATAGCATTTTATTAAAATTATCTTTATAATAGTATTATAATATATATATATATATATATATATATATATATATATATATATATATATATATATATATATATATATATATATATATATATATATATATAATATATATAATATATACAGAATTTTATATTATTTATATAAGTATTGCAATAAAATTTTTAATAATGTTTTTTTTTAAAAAAAAAAAACATTATTATATACAGAATTCATTATTATTTATAAAAAAAGTACTACAATAAAAAAACATTAAAACATGATAGATCTGATCTCTGTAAAAAATCTCTCATTCCATATGTTCAATTTAGGATACTTTGAAAAATCAAAATTGTATTGAATAAGTTCCATCAAAACCAATGCAAGATAATAATCACAAATTGTAACTTGTGTTTCTAACATTGAACAATTTGTAGTAAAAAAACCTTCCTCAAGTAAGTGTAATAGATCATTAATTTTTTGTAGACCATACGCAATCAGTGAACCATTACCATTTTCAAGTTTAAAATCATCTTTTGATTGAGGAAATACATAACTTAATAATACATATCTGAAACAAACAAAATATTTTAAATATTACAAAATCAAAACATTTTTTAGTTATTTGTTTTTTTTTTATTCATTTTTTAAAATAATTTTTATAAAAAAACATATCAAGATTAAAATAATACTTTTTAATAATTTTTTTTTAAATAAAAAAATGCAACAAAAAGTATGAGCCTAATACTTTGATTTTTTCTAACTATTTTATTTTTTTGAGAAGACTATCTGTTTTTTATCAATCCACCAATTATGTGATTTACAACAAATAAACAATGTGTAAAAACAGAATGTTAATTTGTTATAAATCACATAATTGATGGATTGATAAAAATATGTTCCATAATGGAAACTAAAGAGTTTCCATTCTGCAACATAATCAACTATCAAAAGTAAATAGTTGCTACTATTTTTAACTTTCCAATGATCAAAGGTGACATTATTATGAAAGCTCCTCAAATACTAATATTTTAATTTAATTTACCACATTGTTTTTAAATTATCAATGCATCACTAGAAGCATTGATAATTTAAAAACATCACTAGAAGAAGCAGCCCAAATATGACAATAGTATTCCATACAGGGACAATCAGTAGTAAGAAACGGGCAACCTTACCAGATGCTAATATAGCAATCAATAGTATATATGGTTTTTATGAGACATCAGTAATAATTGATCCAAACGAATCCAAGAAGATGTAAAGAAAAGGACTCAGAGGGTTAAAGAAGAGGACTTAGAGGGTTACCATTCATTAATATAGAAATATCGACAGTATTGTAATAGTTGTTTGCAGTAAATAACTGAGTTTTGTTGGAGTTAAAATTTTTTTTAAAGTTACACAAGTGAGATCAGATTCAAGATAGGTTGCCTGTTTTAAGTAATTGAAAAGACTTTATTTCAAGACACAAGTATAAATTTGAGTCGTCAGCAAATAGAGCCACTTTAGATGTAAGATTGTCACAAAAATCATTATTGTAGAGAAGAAACAAAACAGGATAGAAGGTTTTTGGTGGATAAAACTTTGGAGTTCTATCCTTCATGGATAGAACCTTGGGGTTCTATCCTTCGTGGATAAAACCTTGGGGTTCTATCCACGAAACTTCTGGTGTATCTTGGGGTACACTAGAAGTTACTGGAAAAGAAGAGTGTTGTACTTCAAGGATGAGTTTAATTAAGCGGTTAGAAAGAAATGATTTGATGATCTCAAACATTTTCCCACATAGACCATATGAAGCAAGCTTATGAAGAAACTTTCCCAGATACACCATATGAAACAAGCTTCTGGAGAAGACCAGCATGCCAAACTTTGTCAAAAGTTGGCATTTGCTTGTCAAAGCAACTGCTATTGCTCTAAATGTGTCTAGAGCAATAGCCGTTGCCTCCCCACCTCCATCAAATGCACAATAAAATCTTTCAGTCACAACAGTTAGGAAGTCAGCTGTAGAGCAAGAGGATCGAAAACCACATTGATTGTTTGACAGTAAAATATTTGACCCAAGATGGGATGTGATAAATTTGTTAATCGAAGACTCAAAGACCTTTCTAATAACAGAAGACTGATCTGATAATGTTGGAGGGGTCAGAATGTTTTCTAGAGGTGTACCGGATATTTTTGCCGGATATGCCAGATATTGAACTTTTCTAAAGTTCTATAAGTGTTTATGAAGATAAAACAAGTCTTGCCAGTCTACAATAATAGTATTCAAGATCTTACTTTAAAAAATCAAAAAAAAAACTGTATGACATGGGATATGTGCTGACGAAGTATAGAAAATAGTAAATAAAAAAAACAAAATTTTGGCTGTAAAAACAATTTTTACTTATACATTATTAATGCAAATGCATAGGTTCGGAGTTCGATCCCCACCACGTCCCCGGTAGTACCGCGCTCAACTTGTTTCTCCGCGCAGCGGCCTTGTTCGTCAAGGTTTGTGTTTCGGAGTTATAGAGTTAAGAGAGGGTTATAACCATTATTAAGTAGCCCCCTCGTCTGTAGTGGCCTTCTCGGCCTTGAGGAGGTGAATAACAAAAAAAAATAATAAATATCTGGCAAAAATATTCAGTACACCTCTAATATTTTCCAGATTTTTTAAAAATTAGAACCATTTTCCAGCAGGCAGATTTGTTCAAGTACTTATTAAATAGTTTAGAGAAAATTAAAGAGAATTTTGGGAAACACTTTGTAAGACTATGACAGGAATGTTGTCTAGACTAAAAGCTGTGGAAGAGTTTAATTAAGATATGATTTTAGCAATGGAAGGCAGAGTGATTTGAATGTCTAACATTGGGTTAACCTGTTTAATTGGAATGGAAAGAAGAGTATGGCCATAAGATCTGAGAGTCAAATCAGAAGAAAAGTTCTTTGCAAATAGTTCCACCTTATCCTTGGGAGTGATTTTATATATATATATAAAATCAGTCCCATGAATGAGAGAATGTTATGATGGAATGTTAGACCTACCTTTGTTAATGACACTGTTGAAGATTTTCCAAAAGTCTCTAGAAAACACCTTTTTAAATAAATTTCTTAAAATAGGTGTCGAAGGATTAAAAGCTTCCATACCTGCCTGTATTCAGGAAGTTATGTAGGAGGCGCATTTATTGGCTGATAGAGAAATGATATAAGGACAGTCACAAAGAAAATCACAAAAAGAACCCCAGTAAGCTTAAAATAGTAGTAAGTTGTGCAATAATAGGGTGAGTCAGAAGAAGTATGAGATAAAAGATTTATAGAGATCATTGCATGGTCAGTAATACCTAAAGGAGAAAGAGAAGAAACCAAACACAAGGTAGGGTCAGAGACAAGGTACAAATTAAGGAGTAAAGGTAAGTGATTAGGGTTGTCTAGAAAAGCAGTCACTAAATTGATTATCTAAGTAAGAGGTTGAGAAATACAGTTTATGGGCTTTAGTGCCAACAGGGTCAGTAGTGTAAGAGCATAATCCATTAAGTTTGATGAGCATTAAAGTCACCAATAACGACAATATTGGCAGAGGGGTAAAGAGAAAGGGCATTGTCAGAAAAAAAAAGGGCATTTGATCAGAAATTACATCTAAAAGAGTGCAGTCTTAAAAAGTGGTTTGTGAAAACTTTTCATCGGATGCAAATTTATATATACATCTATTAATAATCTTTAAAAATTGTTTAAATTAAAAAATAAATCTAATAATAACCAAATAAATTTTTTGAATAAGCAATTTAATAAAACAATTTTAAAAAATGTTAGAAAATTAAACTAAAAAATTTGTTAAAAGTATTATAATTTAATCATTCAAATTTTTCAACAGACAAAATATTAAACCTGCATAGCGTTGATGATATCCACGAAAGTGTAGTATTGAGTTTTATTTTCATTTCAGAATTATACAAATCACTGTAGCCATATTTCTCTACCAGATACGACAGAACAGGTTGTCTATTAAAAAAAAAGAAGTTATGCTGTAAAACATTGTCACAGGAAACCTAATTTAAAATTGAACTAGAAAAACATATATTTTGGTTAAACAATATATATATATATATATATATATATATATATATATATATATATATATATATATATATATATATATATATATATATATATATTTAACATTTTAAATATATTAACATTTTAGTTTATTAGGATAAAAAATTTACCTAATTACTTGTTTTTAATTTTTTTTAATGTTGTTTAGAAGGAAAAAGATTCATTTACTAAAAAAATTAGCCTAAGATTAATTTGAGTCATCAACCTTAATGCTTTATTGAGTCAACTTTATTCCACTACTATATAAAAAAATATAAACATATAAACTGCAGTGACAGATCCAGGGAAGGAGGGGGAGGGGTGATGGGGGTATGCATCCCACCTCCCCACCAGAATCTGAAAGTCCTAAAATATCTTAGAAATTTAGGACTATATTTTTTTTTTTAGAAGACGCAAATGTGATACAAAATACAAAAATATTTCAACATAGACTTCCCCCTCCCCTCCATCAAAAATTCCTGGATCTGTAACTGATAAAATATATTTAAATAATTTTTGTAACTTGCTTTATGTTTCAATAAAGTTTTGTGCAACGTGCAAAACTTATGGGTGAGAGACAAATACTCTACTTCTATTAAAGTATTTTCAGTTCATTATTAGTATTTTAGTTTAAATTATTTGAAGTAAATAATTTAAAGTGTCAAAAAATGTGGTTCTTGTGAATCTTTTATGTATTAAACATGTTTTTAAAAAGTATTGATATTTTAACCACAATCATTTAAAGAATTTTTGACATTTAAATTTAATGTTAAAGAAAGTTAATATTTGGAGTTTAATGGTTTTTTTATAAAAATAATTTAAAAATTGATTTTATAACTTCAATTTTTTAAACATATACTTATAGTTTATATAACAAATATTTTGATTGCACCAGTATTCAGAAACTACAAAACTGTTTAATAAAATAATTTCATAAGTGGTAAGAAAAGAAGCTAAATTTTTTTTTTTATAATATCATAAAATAAATTTTATGACACTTAAAAGCATTGGACAAAAAAAAAATTTATAACAAAGCCTATGAATAAATAATGATATATTTTATAATACAGGTTCTAAAATTTAAACAAAAAAACAAAACATACACTCCCCAGACTTCTATTTCTCCATCAATAAGGTAAGGAAAGATGTTCAAAACAGGTAAAGAATCCTGATGAGAATCATCATTGACCTTGATAATCTCTATTTCACACTTAGTCTAAAAAGTAAAGTAAATAAAATATACAAGGACAAGCTAGAGTAAATAATCTGATTATTTAAGTAATCAAGTGTTGGGTCATTCCATGCTAAATATATACTAAAATTTAAAGACTTTAACATGGACCACTTTAGATTTTGGAACTTGGTGGTTAGTTTATATCAATAAGAAAAGCAGTTTGAAAATTTCAGCATAAAACCTTGTGTTTCTGATTCTTCCCAAAATAAAAACTTCAGTAGTGAAAACATGTTTTAAAATGCAATAAAATATTGTTTGCAAATGTAAAAAGTTGATTTTAGATGAGTCAATATACTAAATTTATTGACCGGACCCATAAAATACGGGGTCTTGGTAAGTGCTACCCAAACCAATCATTTCTACACATATTTACTTCAATATTTTTTATTAAACAGTAAAAATATTGAAAAAAAAAATATTGCACATTTTCAAAAAATAATATTGCACATCAAAAAAATAATATTGCACAATAATTATGCACATTTTTTCCAATCATTTAGAACCTTCATCCTGTTTATTTATTTGGAAATAAAAGTCTGAATTCAACATCTTCTTACTTTAAGAAAGAAAATTTCTTTAGTGTGCTAGATGCATAGATTTATCTAATTGGGTAAACACATAACAAAAGTACCTCTAATATAGATGACAATTGTGTAACATCTTTCCCAGTGCTTTTCAAAATTTAAGGCTATAATAAAATTTCAACCCTCTTATTAAGACTAATTTATTTAAATTTATTTAGCAAAAAAGAACCCAAAAAATGGATTTCGGGGAGCTAGTTATCTTAAATAAGTTAACTCTATCTGTTTGCCCTTTCTTGTAGCAACTATTCTGCTATAAACTCTCAACAATTTTTTAATGAAGCTGTTTTAATACCAGATTTGACAGATTTTTTAATTATGACATAAATTTAGCATGTAGAACAAACAAAGGTAGGGGGTGGGAAGAGTTAATTACTTTATTAATAATGACCTGATAATAATAACTTTATAAATAATAACCTGACCTCACAAATAATAAAATTAATTGTCAGTTCAGGTGTATCAGCGACATATCTAGGCCGATTTTGATACCGGTATACCGGTATGGGCCCCCAAATTTCAGCCCAAACTCAATTTAAAACAGTTTTATATTAGCATTTGTAACGATTACAGAAATACCAACATTTGAAAAACGACTTTTAAAGTACATTATAAATGTATTTTAAAAGTACATTATAAATGTATTTTAAAAGTCGCATTTAAAATACATTATAAATGTATTTTAAAACTTAAAATATATTAAAGGTATTTTAAGCCAACCAAAATGCTTAATTCGAATTCACGTTGATGAAATATAGAATATGTTGTAATTGGATTAAATGTAAAACGCACGTTTTGATTGGATTAAAATATAAAACGCTTTTTTAAATAACATTTTAAAAATACATTAATATGAGTTTCTCCTCCGCTTATGTTTTCATAACAATTATCGAAGCGATTAAACTGAATGAGCTTTGAACTTTTACATTTCAAATAACAGTAAAAATTGTATTAAAAATACTTTAAACAATAAAATGAATGAAAGTTTTTAAAACATAAAATTAAAATAACATTTATTTCAATAATTAAAATAACATTTTAATATTCGCACCATAAAACTTGATTTGAATAGTAAAAGTAGAACTAGAAAAAAAAGTTATGAATTTTTAAATGAATTAAAATTTCGATTGAATTTATCTTGTTTTAAATACGCTATGTAATAAATCTTATGAAGTTTATATCAAAGAGTCATACAAATATTGTTTATTAAACGTAATAGTCATTGCTTGTTTATGAAATCATACTCTTTTTATTTTTAGTTAATATTATTTAATAATTTGAATTTAATAATTTAATAATTAGTATTAATTTATAAATAGTAAGTGTATGAAGCAAGTAAATGAAAAGTAGCGATTAGCGATGAATCGATGTTGGAGTTAAAGCCGTCGTTCTGTAGTAAATGTAACATTATTTTGGTTAATTATTTAAATTTTTGTTAGAAAAAATCTAAAAGACAAGGGTGAGGTATATATTATATACGAATAATTGTAATTAAATTTGATAAAAAAAAAAAAAGAAGGTCCTCTATACGCCCAAATTATTCCTGGATACGTCACTGTGTATGGTCTTCATGATCACCCTGCTAATAGTAACATGTAACCCAGTGCAACCTGTTCCATGCCCTGCTGCCTTGCGGGATTCTCTTTCTAAATAAAAGCTGGAAGAAGATTGCTTTATCTCATCAGTACTATTTAAAATCGGTCAAGCCTATAGTAATATATACATATATATTTACTTTTGTTGTGTGTGTGTCTTTTATATGGTCGAAGGTGTCTTAGTTACTGTTTTAGCTTACCTGTAATCTACTTTATATGTATGTTTGTGTTCTGTCTAAACCTCTGGCCCTGTGTTGGCTCATCTGTAAGTTACTATATGTATATCTATGTTCTGTCTGAGCCACTTGCACAGTTTTCACACATTCCTAAGTTACTATCTGTATGTTTGTGTTGTCTGAACCTCTGACTTGGTGTTGGTTCACTCATAAGTTACTATATATATGTATGTTTGTGTTTTGTCTGAACCTCTGGTGCGGTGTTTACTCACTCGTAAGCTACTTTATGTATGTGTTCTGTTTAAATGTTTTGTTTAAATGTATAAATCTGTTTTGATGCAGTGTGAGTTTTATTAACTAACTAGATTCCAACTATAAAACCTACGCTCACCCTTACCTCTAGTATTTTGTTAAATGTAATATTTTTTCTAATGCATTTTCATAATATCATGCCCGATATTTTAAGGTACTGTTTGCAGGAAGTAGCTCCTTTTAATTACTCCAGGTCAGGTCAGGATCTTCACAATAAAATTACTCATCTTAATAAAAGTGTCTCAATAAAAATACTCATCTTGGACAGATGTTAACTACATCCAGTTACTGTCTTGTAGGAGGCCTCCTAGGCAAAGACTTAGGGGTAAGCAAAATAATTCTAACCAGCCTCGAACCCCTTCTTTATTAGCTAGCATAGATGTAAATTTATATGGTGTGCATAGATGTAAAAAAAAATTCAGCAGACTTTTTTGCTCTTGGTGAGACTAATTTTAATTTTGCTATTCCTTTTTCTGATCTCAGTGTTGATGGGTACTATCCTTTGATTCGCAAAGACTCCAAAAGTCACATGCTTAGCTTGGGGGTATACATACGCATCAAATCACCTATTTGTTGTGAAATCAGGTTTGAATTCTTTGACCATTCTTTTAAGTCCTTCCACTTAGCATCTGTTCACTCTATTACCTTTCTCTATGTTCTTTATCGTTTTTTTTCTTCCCAAGACTGCATTCTTTGTATAAATCATGTGACATTATTCATCTGACAATTTGAAATAACTTAGCACTCACAAGAGCTTTAATTGTATTGCATCAACAACAACTACATTCATGTGTTCTTTAGCAAATTTGTAAAATAAACAAGTAGGTGCAAGGTTTTCATCCCAATGAAGGATATGCTGCTTTGGTGGTTTGCAGTCATTGTGAATATATGAAACTATTTCACTAAGAGTCCTAAGTTGTGAACAATCAGCATTAGCATATAAAGAAGTAACCTTAGATAAATTACCTGCATAAATCCATTATGCTGCCTTAGTCTAGTGTGTGTGTGTGTGTGTGTGTGTGTGTGTGTGTGTGTGTGTGTGTGTGTGTGTGTGTTCGTGTGTGTGTGTGTGTGTGTGTGTGTGTGTGTGTGTGTGTGTGTGTGTGTGTGTGTGTGTGTGTGTGTGTGTGTGTGTGTGTGTGTGTGTGTGTTACCTTTTTAATATACAACCAAACAAGCTTTGACTCAATATCAACCAACTTTAATAATAGTTTTGCCATATATCAATATTATATACTTGTTGCTATTAAATAAAACACCAAAATTATATCACTAACTTCACTAACGCGAAAGTAATACAAAGAGAAAAAAGTAGATCCAACCGGATCAATAATTGCTTTAGATGTTTCTTTATCCGCGATAAACTCCATAAACCTTGGGTTAAAAGTAACACAGTGTAACAAAAAAAAAATTTTTCTCTATTTATCCAAATTTTTTGAAGTTTCTTATTTAATTTGAGTATGCTGAGTCTGAATTTGCTTTTTTAATTGCATTAACCGTTTGATCATAAAATCAAAAATTCAATTTAACATATAATTAATACATGGCCTACTAATTCACGGCCATTTTGAAAATCGATCTTGCATTTTTGAGGGGGAAATTGAAAGGCCGGTTTTGAAAGTTTAAATGCAAAACACGCTATAATATTATCTTTAAAAATAATTCTTCTTTCTGAATTTACTAATTTTTAAAGAATTTATATTAAAAATGGTCAACAAATGTGCTGCACCAAAATGTACATCGGGATACTTAAGCAACAAACACAAACAAATTGCATCTTTTCATTTTCCAACAGACCAAAACTTAAATCAACTTTGGATACGATTTGTTAATTGTTCAGATTGGACTCCAACAAAACATTCTGTTTTATGTGAACTTCATTTTGAAAATAAATATATACTTAGAGGTAATAAATGCACACTGAATTAGGTTTTAAAACCTGTTTCTTGCAAGTATTCTTGTGAACTTTCGCAAAAAAAATCATCTTTGCCAGTTTTAAAAACTTCTCGAAGTCCTCCTAAATTGAGAATATTCACAAAAAGATCACAAAAAGATCAACAAATATTTAAGAAAAAGGATTTAATTACAAATGTAAATAGTTTGAATGAAGCAGTAATACCACCAGGGTTTAAACGATTTGAAAAAGGTGTTGTATTTTATAATATAGTATTTAATGAACAGACATATTTTCCAACTATATTAGAATCAATAACAGTTGATGTAGACCTAAATGTACGTTTGCAATACAAAGAAACACCACTTTCATTACCAATTTGGTTTGTTAAAGGACATAATGCAAAACTTGATAAATTTTCTTTCTTATATGAGAAACTACACATTAGAAAATCATGACACTATTTTAGATGAAATTAAAGCTAAAGAGCTTTATCAGCCACAAGGCAGGCTACTATACTCAGCAGAGATGATTCAATATGCATTACTTTTATGATATACATCTTTACAGGCATTCAAACTACTTCTTTAAAAGCTCCCTTTACCATCAATATCTTTATTAAATAAAGTTCAAGAAGGAGGTATCGATTCTATAAAAGCTTTAAAACTTCTACGTGAAAAAGGAAAAATTTCTCCTGATTGTATTATGATTATAGATGAAATGTATTTACAAAAAGCAGCACAATATCAAGGAGGAGAGTATGTTGGTGCTGACGAAGAAGGTAACTTGTACAAAGGAATTGTCGCATTCATGATAATAGGACTAAAAGAATCTATTCCTTTTATTGTTCAAGCAATTTCAGAAGTCACATTTTCTGGTAATTGGCTATCACAAAAAATAGCTGATAATCTTAAAAATCTATTAGGTGCTGGGTTCACTGTGCGTGGTATAGTTACAGACAATCATTCCACTAACATTAATGCATTTTCATCATTAGTTACAATGTTCAAGTCTAAATCAAAGTATTTTATTATTCACCCACAGAATCATGGAAAGAAGACATATTTGTTTTATGATAGTGTGCATTTAGTCAAAAGTCTTAGAAATAATTTATTAAATGGTAAAAAATTTGTTTTTCCAGACTTTAAATACCATAATGCATATATCAATATTGATTGTCCATCAGGATATGTTAGTTGGGATGATTTATTTAAGATTTACCATAATGATAATGATCTGAAAGGTAAACTTAGAAAAGCTCCAAAGCTTACATATGAGGCATTATATCCTAGAAATAATAAACAAAGTGTGCCACTTGCGTTAGCAATTTATACATGAAACTATAATTGCAGCTTCAAAAAGCTCTTACCCAAATCGAAAAGATGTTTCAAGTTTTTTAACTATTTTTAACACTTGGTGGACTATTGCTAATTCTAAACATAGGTTTTCACCAAATATTATTGTCAATGCTATTGTATTAGGAGACAATAAAATGATTTTTTACCATGCTCTCGCTGATTGGATCAATCAGTGGTCTCTTTCACCTGCAGTGAAAGAGAAGCACTGCTTGTTGAGGAGCTCCTGAATGATGGATATGATTACGTGATGACAGCTCGTTTACAAAATGATCCAATTGAAAGGCGTTTCTCACAATACAGGCAAATGAGTGGGGAAGATTTCTTGTATGTTTAAGAGAAGTTTTGAATTCGGAATGAATTTTGTCATGTTGTTCTTTAGTTAAGGAGCATATAAACTTCTGGGAAGAAAATCTAATACCAGATATTTATCCTTCCTTGATAATACTTGATGAACTGTTTGAAAATTAAATAGAAGAAATTATGGAAAGTTCCCTTGATTATTATAGTCAAGAAGTGGCAATAACTATGCTATAGTTATTACTATAATTATAGGCTATGTTGCAACAAAATTGTCAAAAAGGTCTAAATGTGAAAGTTGCAAAGCATGTTTGAAAGGTGGAGACATTGATCTTGAAAATAATTCCTATCTATCTTTCTTGTCACGTGGTGGACTATTTGTTCCATCCAAACAGCTTGCAGAATTTGTTTGCAGTGTATTTTTTATTTTGGATTTAATTGAGAATGAAATTTCATCTCTATCAATTCCAGTCATTAAATCATCAACATATCTGTTACATAAATACGCACCAAAAAGCAAATTTGTTAGCGAAAATCATGAAAATTGGGGAATCACGTTTTTAACAAAAATTCTTGTTAATGTATTTTTTGATAACAAACAAAATCTATCAAAGTATTTGGTTTCAAATAATAAATTAAAAACATTTAAAATAAGGCAAAGAAAAAAGTGAAATCTAAATTGTCAAAATGCTAGTTGCATAGCATTTGTTTATATAGTTTAATAAAATTAACCTATTGTTTTATTTCTTTGAACTACTTTTTGATATTTTTTTTTAAAGCGTTAAAATATACATAAATACATATATATATTATATCTAAATATAATATACATAGATATATATGTATATTGATTTGAATAATTTTTGTGAAAATTACACAAATGTCTTTAAATCTTTGATATCTATTTTATCTTAAAGAGTATATATATTAAAAACAACTTCCACCTTTACATTAAAGAACTTTAAGTTAAAAATTAAAAATAAAGTTGCTTTTTAAAAATATAATATTCTGCGCAGCCATTTTTTCAGTAAAAATCGGCCTCTTAATATCCCCCTTAGTAATGTAAGATATACGGCTGTAAATATAGTAGGCCATGATTAAAATTATTCGTATTGCATGAGATACAACTTTAGTCAATATATAACATTTACTAGTTCAAAAATGTTATATTACAAAATGTCATGTTACATCAAATTAGTTACATATATTACATAATGTTACATTATGTTCTCTCAAAATCTCAAAAAACACTAGAAGTGAACAGTAGAGTGTGGTTTTCTTTTATGAAGTTTGTTGTCACGGCGTATCAAACACCAGATGAAGTCACCTATCATAGCTGTATCCCATCTGCCCTTGTATCTTTTTTTCATTGCATGGTATCCTGATGAAAACATTCTCCATGCTCTTCACTCACATCACCCAAATTTTGGTCTGAAAAATCCCAATTGTTAATGCAGGTAATGCCGCTTTATTAACATTCTGCATTTCATATCTGCATCCCGTACAATTAAGTTTTCTACTAGCTCTTTGTAGTTATCACTCTTATTGTTGCCTAAAAAACTATGAACAACTTGTCTAAATGTAATCCAGGCTTCTTTTTCAACAGCAGACATTTTGTCCTCTAGCTCCTTTCATGCTAACATAACTTTAAACCAACGAACATTAACCTGCTAAAATTTTTGCATTTGACACCTTTGGAAACATCTGCCAAATATGCTGGAACGCTGCACTAGCTGGGTTTAATGCTTTGACAAATTGTTTGACAACGCCTAGTTTAATGTGAAGGGGTTGTAGTAAGATCTTCTCAACAGGTATCAGGGATTGATTAATAACATTGTGCGAAATAGGTTGTAAATATTCTCTCACTGGCTACTCACATCTCGTGAAGTGCTGGTCCGCAGCCCTGCTATCCCATAAACAAAGAAAACATGAGTACTTTGTGTATCCTCCTTGTAGACTAAGAAGAAAGACTACATACATCCACTTGTAACTGTCATAGTTAATTTTCTCAACAAATTCATGTTCTTTTAGTCTTCCTTTAGATGAAAGGAATGATGAAAATCTTCCTTTAGATGAAAGGAATGAGCTACTGGAATCAAAAGAAATTGGTTTCCGTTATGAAGCAAAACTGTCTTTAGACTTCTTGTTGAACTGTCAATGAATACCGAAAATAAATATATAAAAGAATTATATATAAAGAATATAGTTAAATCAATCTCTCATTTGTTAAAAAATTCGTACCCAAAATGTGCTAATATTTAATCAACATAAATTTTTAATCAACATAATCAACATAAATCAGGGACGTCCCCTAATAGTATTTTCAAATAGTACTTTCAATTAGAGTTTTTTATTCTAAATCTGTTGGTAATGTTTTTTTTAATATGTTGAAAAAAAATTAAAGTTATTTGATAAAAACTTAAAAAATATATTCCGCTAACGTTGGGTAACAATTAATAAAATAATATTCAGTTGTCTATGTTTTTATTTCCTATTTCCAATATTTTAGATAAATCTATTCTTCTTTTTTAATCTAAATTTCATTTCTCCTCCTTTTTAATTGTTCATCCATTAAAAAAGAACTTTCTATTTTTATAACGACTTTAATTTTAAAAAACTTTACTCAATAACTCTGCTTCTAGCTGTTCGCAACATTTCCTTTTTTTTGTGTTGAAACATATTTGCATTATGATACTTATTCGTGAATCATAGACTCGCTTCACTTGTCTACACAAGACTATATTAAATAAAACAACACACAAAGTTTTAAAGGTTTTATGGTATTGTATGCGCACAGTTTATAATATTGTTGCGCATGAGTCTATAAAAAAAATCCAATTTAAAATCTTTATGAAATCAATGAAGAAGCTATGGCTTTAAAATTTTGTCTCCTTATCCTTAGAATCTTTTAAACTGCCTTAATTCATTCGTCATAAACTGGTGACAGATCCAACAAACCTTTTTTAATCTTTGCATCACTTAACCAATAAAAGAGATTTTTAAACAACGTAACTTTATGAAATTCTTGATGATTTTTATTTGATTGTTAGTTTTAATTTTTTTTCATATAAATATACTTAAGAAGAACTTGTTAAGAAAAAAACAACACATAAATAAATACATGAATACGCATTAATATTTAGATCTAAGAGATAAAAGTATTAACTAAATATAGCATAAAATATCGGGAACGAAATTAATTATTTATTATTCGGGAAGAAAAATTCAAAAAACCTCAAGTACAATTTTGATTGAAAAAATGACTTTTTTAATTTTTCTTTATAAAGAATCAAAACATTATTCAGTTAAAACAGTATATTTTATTCCAAGGATTCAACGAAATAAAAAAATTAACTAAAATTAGTCTGTGAAAATAGTAGTAAAATAAGATAATTTTTCCATAAATTACAGTTTACATAAATTACAGTTGTTTTGTTTAAAATTGTTGTACATAAAATAAAAGTACGTTATAAACATAACTTGATGTTTTTAGTGAGTTCGTTTCTTTTAATAGATGCTTTTCTTTTTAATGCTTCCTAAATTTTTAAAACTTAACATGTTTTTGATGACAATAAATTGTTTCAAGCTATTAATTGTATTTAATTATTAGAGTATTTATTTGTTTTAAAATTTGCATATTTAATAATTGCTGAATAAAAACGGTTAAAAGAGAAATGCAACTTTGTTAAGTTGTTCTCTTTCGGAATTTAGTTACATAAACTTTTGATTTTATTTATTCACGTAGAATTGTCATCGATATAAACACCTAGACTATAATCTATAGAAAAGCTAGCATTTCACAAGGTTGTGTTTTTTTTTTTTTGAAGGTGTATGAGATTGAGTTTAAATAGGCTTTTGATGTTAAATGATTTGATTTAAGCCAAGTATATTATCGTTTAACATTAAAAAAAGTGGGACACTTTCTTTCCAGATTCCAGAAAGTAAACTGTTTATTTCAGAATAATAGTGCTTCTAAAAGCTTTTCAAGATGCCAATATACTTTTATTCTTCGAGATAAATTTTTAAAAAACTTTTTAACAATATTATTGTCAGACTATGTATATATAGTTAAGTCTAACAATCGTGATATTGAGAAACAAACAGGCTCAACTAAGTTCATAATAATGGAAACTTTTTTAGCATTTTCATAACTTTTATTTCACATCCCATTTTACTAAATTATAGACCAAAGTTGATATAAAAGTTCTTCATACTAGCATGTTCACACATTCTTCACACCAGCATGTTCTGAAATTATGGTTATGCTTGTATTTTTCATAAGACCAAGGTCACAGCAAATGACATTTAGTTTGTAAGTTTTTATTTTTGTTTGATAACTTTATTTTGCATGACATTATTTTGTGGAATGGGTTTAGTACATATAATATTGTTTATAATTAAATATAAAATATTTATTTAAACCAAATCAAGATTTGTAGCTGATTGTTGAACGTGTTTTTAGGTTTTTTCGTTTTTATTGTTGTATGCTGGGCACATTAATAACATCAATATTTTATACATATTTTTATTTTTTCCATTATTACGCTTTGATATAATAAATAAAACAAAAGTCTCAAGGTAAGCCTTTTTTCACACTAAAATTGTACATTTATTGGTTATATTAGCTTTATGAATAAAAAGAAACTCTCTCATAACCACCGTTTCTATACAGATTAAACAAATACCTAAAAACCTATAGTGTTCGATAGCTAATTATAGCGTTCCATTTGAACAATAGATAAGCATATATAAATTTAATCTTTAACAAATCTAGAACTTTATAAACTAAAAAAGGGACTTTTTTTCACATTTATTGGTTTAAAATTACCTTTGCTTTAAATATATGAGCTATAAAATGGTATTTTAAAAAAATAGGTATAAAAAAAATAAGTTTAAGTTTTAATATTTAGAATTGAACTCCTATATTTTGAAACCTATTTTAATTTGAACATATTTTGAGACCTCTCGATAATTCGACTATATTTTTTTTTGTTGGTTTTCGTTTTTTTGTTTTTTTCTTTTATCAAAATAAGTGTTTCAATAAAATAAAAATAAAAAATATAAATAAATAAAGAGTTACTAATTTTGTTAAATTTTTATTAAGAAAGTATTTACTAATAGTTATTAACTAAAGTGCTAATTGTTGTCCCCTACTCCAATTGTGGTCCCCTACTCCGATTTAATTGTAGTCCCCTACTCCAATTTAACTATATTTTTAGTGTATACATAGCTTGATTATAAGTCAAGCTATGTACGCACTTAAAATTGCTTATAAAAAAGCTTGCATATAGAAGATCGGAACGTGTGTGTGTGTGTGTTGTGTAGAACGTGTGTGTGTGTTATGTAGAATATTCTTTGAATCTGATAGAAGATTCGAATAATCTTTGAACCATCATTCAAATGAAATATAAAATCTCGGAAAAAATATCAAAAAAAAAGTTCCTTTATAGAAAAAAACGAAACCAAAATTCAATAACAAATTGAAACAAAACAATAAACAACTCTAACGATCTGATTTTTTCACTCAAAAACTAATTTTTCCTAATATTTTCAAATTATGTTTTATCTGAACAAATCTGATGAATTATAGTTTTGTGTCAGCATTGTTGTTGTTGTTTTCTTGTCAATTTTCATGTTCTGATTTAATAATTTAGCTGTTTACAGATTACGTGTTAAATGAATAACTATAATAAAAATAAAAATACCTGTTATAAAAAAATTATATTTAAGAAGTGTCATTTTTTTAAAAATAAATTTGTTCTCAAAATGCATAAGTTGATATAATAATAATTATTATAATATTTATTTATTTTTTTAATATACACATCTTTAATATACAATTTTTTCAGACAAATCGATGGTTGTCGGTTTTCCTAAGAAGTTGGATTTCGGTGATATAACTGAAAAGCGGTTTTCTTTATAGATTGCAATAATACACATGATTTTTTTTTTCAATATATATTATTTTCTTAGTACGCGGTTTTAAACAACTTTTTTAAAAAAATCGTCTAGAAAATTTTTATTTAGGTTTATCTTTAAGTGAATTAAGGTAATCATTAATTTTTTAGTAAATTTTCTACATTAATATTATTATTTAAATGTTTTTATTTAAAATTTGATTACTTTTACTTATTATATCCTTTTTCGTATATAAAGTTATCCAAATTACTTTAGTTAGGCTCATTTCTTTTACCGTTTTATTTGTAACTATTTTCTTGAACATTCATATGTGTGTGTGTGTGTGTGTGTGTGTGTGTGTGTTGTGTGTGTTCATTTTGTTTTAATCTACAAACTGCTTTAACTACCAAATTTATAAAAATTTAATATTGTATTTAATTATTAGTTATGACATTTTTATACTTATATTAATCGTAATAAAAACACACTCGCAAGCTAAAAATTTCAAAAAGAACCAGTATATACGGCTTTCAAACCGTTATAGAGTTTTCAATTTCAAGTTTATTATAGCTGTCGACGTCACTTTAGCGTTATATTAATTGCAAAACCTACAAAGAACCCGGTCTTTTAATGCGTGATGCAAAAATATGTTATAGAAGTGCAAAGTAGATTTTCTATTGATTCTGTTGATCCCAGACATTTAACTATTTCAATAAAACTAATTGCCATCTATCATAGTAATATAAAGTTTCTAGTAAATTTGTTTTTTACTGTTTTCCTCAGTAAAGGTAAATTAAGGTACAAACAAAAAACGAATTGAAAATAGGTATTATATACATATATACAACATTTGAATATAATATCTTTTTATGTATCTATCTATTTATCTATCTATCTATCTATCTATCTATATATATATATATATATATATATATATATATATATATATATATATATATATATATATATATATATATATATATATATATGTATATATATATATATATATATATATATATATATGTATATATATATATATATATATATATACATATATATATATATATATATATATATATATATATATATATATATATATATGTATATATATATATATATATATATATATATATATATATATATATATATATATATATATATATATATATATATATATATATATATATATGCTTTATATATTTTAGACTCAAAGTTAACCATGAAGATGACAAATAGATAGCATACATCCAATAGCATAAACAAAAACTATGAGTGCATATTTAAAGCAACGTTCATTCCGTAAACTCCATAAGTTAGAAGATATTATCGAAAACTTAAAAAAATCTAGAAATGATCTTGAAGAGTCTAAACGAGCTAAATTTGACTTGCAACAGGACAGTGAACATAAACTTTTAGAGATACAAAAACAACAACAATATATTGAGTTTAAAAGACAACAAATAATCGAGTTCAATGAAATAAATGATCAACGTTTTAAACAATCGCTTAAATACGATCAACAAGTAAATAACCAACGTTCACTTGAAAGAAAAAACAACGTAGTTAATTCAATAGCGTATTCTGTAACTCAGAGTGATGAAAATTTTCAGCTCGCTTCTCAGGTTTTAAAACGTTATGATAGTAGACGTTTGAAAGACACATTGTTTTTAGGCAGAGTACCATTTAGTTATAGTAATCAATTAAACTCGTTGGTTCCTCCAATCAAAAACGGCAGAAAAAATCTAATTCAACAATCTATCTTAGAAGATAAAATTTCTGAAACTAAATGTGAAAAATGTAACAAAAGATTTTTTCGCAGAAGTCAACTCGTACGACACATTTCAAATCACGTGGTGCACGAGTGCACCAGATGCAAATCTCTTTTTTATTGTGTTAGAAAGTTCAAAAGACATATAGCAACACATGAAAGTTGGCCTTGTGAATTTTGCAACGAAGTCTTTTATGAGGCTTCTGCATGGTATAAACACCGTGCAGCCCACACAATGGTGGGATGCGCAAGTTGCAACACTATTTTCTACAATAAAAATACCCTTTTGAAGCATAAAATGGAACATATGATTTTTCTATGTCCGTTATGTCATGGAGTTTTTGAAAACATAAATGAATGGTCTAATCATAGAGTTTACAACGATAAACCTTGCGGTAGTAGCATATTTTCTCCAAATATAATATGTAAAGTATGTCGGAACACTTTTCATAAACAAGATACGTTTTTAAACCACGGGTGTAAGTTTTATACAGAACCGTTTCGAAAAAAAAGTCGGTGTGTTTTCTCAAAAGAAGACATTTCCGATCTAATTGGTTTTGAAAAAGCAAAAATGTGCTAGAAGCATTGATCTTTAGCGGCAATTTTCTTTTAGCGGAACAATTTTAGTATAACAGAACCTTGAGCGCTTTTGCGCATATCTTTAAAATCAAACTTTCATATTCAAGACAAACCCAGATTAATATTCAAACGAAAAATTATAAGTATTTACTAATTGTATATACTCGTCATTTAGTTTTACTAACAAATTAAACTTTTTTTTAGTTTCCATTTTTTTTTATTATTATTATTTTTTTTTTTACAACAATCATTGTTATGAATTTCAAAAAAATAATATTTACATGTCTCCAGTTATTTTTCAGTAATTTTCCAGGTATATACCCAGTAAGCAAAAGACGCATTTTAGACACTTATAGACGTCTAAAACTAGTCTAGGTAAAGACGCACTTTTATAAGCGTTTTTAAGACATCTTTTAGACGTCTTTTATGAATGCGTTTTTAAAATGACGTTTAAAAGGCGTCTTTTTTTAAAGATAAAAAAACGTCTAGAAGATATCTTTTTTTAAGACATCTTCTAGACGTCTTTAATGAATGCGATCTTAGCATGACGTTTAAAATGCGTCTTTTTAAAATTTTAAAATACGTTTAAAAGAAGCGTAATAAATAGTCTAAAATTCGCATTAAAAGACGTCTAGATCAAAGCTAAAAGACGTCTTTTCTGAGACCTGTTTATAAATATGTCATTATGACTTCTTTTTGACGGCTTTGTCATTACGCGTTAAGTAGATGTCGTATATTCAAAGTAAAAACATAGTTTTTATTATTTTCAATAATTTGTTCAAGTTTTAAGTGTAAATTACTTTAAATTAAATTACTTTTTTACACAATTGCTAAAATTGTTGTCACAGGAATCACTAAAATAATTGCTATAATAATAATATATCTTTTTTTTATTAATAATTATTTTTCTTTTTTAATAGATAGTTGACTGATCATGATAATAAGTAAAAATGTCAATAATATATATGTTAAATATCAGTACTTTTAGTTTTTATACACCCACAAGCCATATAATAATTCAAGTATGCAGTCAAAAATTAGCTTGGCATACGTATGTTAAATATTATTATATCTAAAGGTAAGTTATAAATATTTTAAATACTGTTTTCATATATATTTGTTAATGTTATTTATTATTTTCATCTTTGATGCATCAACCGTTGGTGGTGATTACAGCAATATCATTTTGATTGCTGGTTCCTATTTTGTTTATACGAAATTATAACAATATATGATGTTATAAATACAATGAATATATACCACATACTACGCGAAAATTTTACGTCATGTACTTGAAATTATCTTTAAAAAAACGTCTAACATACGTCTAAAACGCGTTTTTATAAAGACGTCTTCATTTAGACGTCTTTTAGCCTTATGATCTAGACGTCTACAAGTGCGCCTTTTAGACCTCCTTAAAGACATCTTTAAAACGTCTTTTAAACGTCTTTCTGCTTACTGGGTATATATATATACCATATATTTCCAGGTATATATATATATGTATATATATATATATATATATATATATATATATATATATATATATATATATACATATATATATATATATATATATATATATATATATATATATATATATATATATATATATATATATATATATATATATATATATATATATATATATATATATATATATATATATATATATATATATATATATATATGTAAAAAATCACACAAAAAAGTTATTACATCACACAACAGCTTTTACATTTACAGTACCTAAAAAAAGTTAAAAGCGTTTAACACTAAGCCATGCGTTGCACCACTAGGCTACTAGGACTTGCTTCTGGTTGTCGTTGAAAAAAACGGCTACAGTATACAATTAAACATCTCGAGAATTTTATTTTATTTATGTGCAATGTAAAGTTTCCTGTTCCTCGTGTGATACATCGTGTTGATTTAAAAAAGTTATTTGTAAAATAAGTCGGAACAAGTCCGAGCTTATATTTGAGCATAAATAAAATATTTAGGTTTATGTTAATTTAATAGATATTTGATTCATTCAAGTTTTTAAATAAAGGATCGTCATGAGTGAATTTATTTTTATTATAATTCAATCTTGATGCATGTTGCTGGTGAATATATTGAGAATTTAGTTTATGATTTATTTGTACTAGCATATGTTAGATAAGTTGATAAAAGAAAGATAATTTTTAGATTCTCTTTGAAAAGCGTAAGTTTAACTTTGTAGAGCATCCGGATACTTTTTTATATTTATTGTATTTATATGGGCTTTCCAAGAAATCTTTTCGTCAATAATTATCCTAAAAAGTTAAACTGTCATTTCTTTTAATGTTTGTTCTATCAATTTTTAATTAAGCTAATGGTAGCAAGTATGGTATATTATTTTTATGCTTGTTGTAATGAAACAAGATGTATTTTGTTTTTTCTGTATTTAATAAGGATTTATTTACTTTGAACCAGATGTTTAGGTTTTCAAGATCATTGTTTACAGATTCATAGAGGTTTTTAATTGATGGTAATCAGGGCCTTCTCGAAGAAGTCTCTAATGAGGGTGAGTCATATATGTTTTTTGCTCACTAGAGAAAAAAAAAATGTCCTCAATACTTGAAATTTGCCAATCGTCAACATGGCTTGTTTTAAATTATACCCAATCGACAATATGATTTGTTATAAATTTCTGCTTCAATTTGTAACGTTATTTTCTTCTTTAGTGCTTGCATTCATTTTAACTTTAATAAAATAAACATATGCACAACTTAATAATTTATGCACAACTTAATAATTTATTACAATTATACTTATACAACATAGTAGCAATTACAATTATAAGTAAGTGTAGTATACTTAAAAACATGGCCCCCACAAGGGGTGGGATCGCGGTACTGTTGCACTGGGGCCCGGAGATAAAGAGGGCCCATTTATTTAGCATAATTTGTTCCATAATCTTTCAGTTTAATCATTTTACATTAGTTTAACTTTGTTATCAAATCAATAAACTAAAAAGAGAAAATAATTTATTCTGAAATTATTTGATTTCAGACATATATTACATTTGAAAATATTATGATTCTAATGTTCCAAAACTAAACCTTTACTTCCTTAAAAGATACATTTGTTGCCCAGGATTTAAATGATGTCTCGATAGGAAAACCATTTTTTCAGATTGTCAAGTTATTCAGACACCATGTCAATCTCAAATTACAAACATAAAACTGGAGCTCAAAAGAGAAAACTTAAAAATGAGGTAAGATCAAAGAATTTCTTGGTAGTCAATCAATAAGCAAATTTTTCCAATATGGGAACGAAAATTCTTCTAATGGTAAAATTGAGGATTACAGAGAGCATAACTTAGTATTGATGTCAGAGCTGAAGATCATTTTGAAATAGATTCAATAGGTGAAAAATCAGACAAAGGAAATGCGAATGGATCTACTGCTTATGATGGACAATACACAAGAAATAATTCTAATGATGGTGTGGCAGAAAAAGAATTAAATGCAGATAATACCTATGATTCTAATTTAATCAAAAACACTGAGATAATTCTTGATGACCCTGGTACATTAAAGATGTTACTATATAATATTTTATTATTTTACATTATTTTTATCATCTAGAGATTATTTCATAGAGAAAACACAACAATTGGGGATGTTCATAATGACAATTTCTTAGGGACACTGCAAAGCACAACAAAGTCAGTTAGAATTGAAAAGTATGAAGAAAAAACCACATTATTTGTCTTGATTCTCTCAAAATGAATTCATCAACTTATTGTTATACTTACTTATTGACAAAATTCTACAAACTATTTTAGATCAAAGATAAGATTAAAATTTGGTGCAACTTGGTATTTCACACATCGAACAAAATGTTTTTATTTCAAGGTACGTATTTCAAAATTCGGACACTAAGGTATTTGATGAAAACAAGCGTTTCATAGAGTTAATGAACTTTAACGGGAAAACAGGAGAAAAAATAACAGAAGAAATACTTGCCACTCTAGAAAGACACAACGTACCAATACTCAATAAGTAATATAATACTTCAAGATTGTCGTTCACAAAGTTTTGACAATGGTTCAAATATGTGTGGTAAAATAAATGGTGCTAAGGCCTGCATCTGAAAAAAAAAACAACCATCTGCCAATTTTCCCATTCATTAAACCGTGTAGGAGTCAACGCAGCAAAATTAAACCCTAATCTAATAACCTATTTAAGAAGCTTCTACTGTTTGTTCTCTCAGAGTCCTGCTCGATGCAATGTGTTAAAAAAACACAAACTCTTATCTCTTCAAAGTCTTTCAGAAACAAGATGGAGTAAAAGAATTCGAGTCATTCGACCATTCGCCAAACATTATCCTGGCGTACTCGCTGTGTTAGATGTTCTTTCCCAGGGAAATCTTTAGAATTAACACCTTCAGTACAAAACATAGCTAAATGCAATATGTGATTTATTCTCACCCATTTTGAATTTACATAAATTTGAGGATGTAGACCCAAAATTAAAAGCGGTCAAGCTTGTGAATGCATATAAGAAAGATCTGTCAAAAAACTTTATTAGTAAAATACTTCATCTGAAAAGTATTTACAAAACAGTTTTTGGTATTAAAAGTTCTTCGTCTTCTGAATTCAATTTATGACAAACAACTTATGGCATTTTTACCAACATCTGTCTGGTAATTAAAATATTTTTTATTTCCAGTAACTGCATCATCAGCAGAAAGATCATTTAGCAAACTGGCAAATAAATTGAAACCACGGCAAAGAAGCACAACCTGTCAAGATCGCTTAAATCATCTTGCCATATTATATATTGAAAATAATTTAGTAAAACGAGTTGATTTTATTTTAGTGATGTCATTGAAAAGTTTACTTTGGAAAAAATTCGAAAATGTTAATTTAGATAATATTTGTAATTTTTATATTACCAGTGGTATTAAATATATTCTCTTTCAAATAAATCTTGAAAACTTTTCTTGAATTTTATCTTATCATTAAGACAATCTTTAAATGTCTTTTTCTGTCATCAAGACAGTATTTTTATAGATCTTAATTTTTGGTTTTAAGTTCTAATGGAATAAGTGGCAAGTGCATTAAAAATAGCTTATGGTATACTGTCAATATAATCTCTTTTTTAAAATAATATTTTTAAACGATCTGTTGATAAAAAACTTTTTATGACCAATACAAATTTAGTACCAATTGGAAAACTGTCTTGTTTGGTTGGTAGCAATCAGGTCATTTTAATTGTTTTAATTACAGGAAATTAATTAATAATTTCCATATTTTATCTGTCAAAGAACAATATTTTTCTTTACAAAAATATTTTGCGAAGAAAACCTATTTTCAAAAAATTATTTTGCGGGAAAAATTTTTTTTTTAAACTAAATAATAAAAATACAAAATGGCCCGCAGACGGGTCCAGCATAGGGTCCTGTTCTAGAATGTAGAGGCCATAAATGTAAAAGCTTTTATAAGACTTGTGTATAATTGAGTCTTTATAATACATAAGTTTTATAAAGATTTTTATAACTTTTGTCAAATTAAATATATTTTGAAACATTTTAATATTTTTACTTTTATTACAAATTTCTATACAACTTTTTCCCCATAAATCTTCGTGCAATTTTTAATTTTTTCATTTTATCAGGACCAACACTGTCCCAGCAAACATTATATAGCGGAATTTCAGTGAACCTTTATATGCATTTTGAGCGGTCCGCTGTAGTTTTGCTCATCGGTTACTTAGTGGACAGCCGATAACTAGCCATTATTAACTTATGGGAAAGTTATCGGCTTTCCATCTATAACAGTTGCCAGTAATAGTTTACTAACAAACCGATGAGCAAAACTCCAATGAACCTCTAAAAAATGGCTACATAGATCCACTGAAAATCCACTAAAACAGTGTTTGCTGGGGCATTGTTAGTACATTTGCGTCGGCAAATTTTAATTCATTTTCGACATTTAAAAAAAAAAACTAAAAACAAAAGTTGAAATAACATTCAAATTTTTTAACGTTTATTTTAAATGATGAGCTTACGTTGAAATAAGGTTGATTTCTTAGATAATTATTTTTCAACAATATATCTACCGTTGAAACAACGTTATGTGCTTGCTGGGGTTGTCACATTAATTGTCTAAGCACTTTTGCCGGCTCGTAGTTATTTTTAATACCATCATCAAAGCGCGGGCGCAGCTTAAACATACAAACATAAAAAAAAATCTAGTTAAAAATTATATAAATAGATATATTTATTATATATTGGTTGAAAACTTTACATTTAAAAAATATTTACATTATATTTACATAATACTAATTTACTATTTACATATTAACTATTTTCACCACAATTGATGCAGCATTCCGTAACTATGTCGCTAAGTAAATGTTTTATTTCTGCTATGTCATTGGAATCTTGTTCAACAACTTCGCTAGACGTCGTTTGTATTTCAAAAGTGTCACTACTTAAATTATGCTCTTCTGTACTATCAGAATGTTTTAAGTCTGAGAACTCATTTGGTACTTGTTCTATTTCTTGGACAATGTTTTTTGTCTGATTCATTTTTGTTGCAAGTTTATCTAAAATTTGGTTTATTTTATTAATAACATTTTTTCTAGCACAACGTATCTGTTCTTCGCCTTCCGCTAATATTTTATCGAGATCAATCATATATTTCGTGAGTAGTTCTTCAAACCATAAGATTTTTTTCTCTTGAAAATTATCGTTTAGCAATGTATCTATTTCGTTATTGATGGCGTTTACATTGCGCAAAATGTTTTCGATTTCCGCCAGATTTGTTTCCACATTGTTTTTTATTTTTGTAACGTTGTTTTCTAGTTCTTCTTTAAAATCTTTTTCAATACCTATTGGGATGTTTATTTCAGATGCATCATGATAACTTTCTTTCTCAGACTGTATATTGATAAAATGGCTTTCGTTGGAGTTTTTCGTTTTTAACTTATTATTGACGTCTCGAAGGTTAACAGACTTTGATGTATTGTTAATGTCCTGGTGGTCGACAGATTTAGATTGTTTATCAGCAAAATAAATCGGTATTTGAGTAACTTTTCCAACTTCTTTTGGACTTTTGAAACTATGACCTGGCTGTTTACATCGTTGATTAAAACGGTTATGAGGTTGATATAACTCTTCTCCACACGAACCAAGGTTATCGAAAAAATATCCGTATGGATGCAAACCAGAGTTTCTCTTTCTTTTGATTGAAAAATCATCGTGCATGCCATTGCTTCTAGACATATACGGATAATAGTAGCCCATTTTATTAAATTTGTGAGTATTCAATTTCGTCTAAACTTCTCTCAAATTGCTTCTTAACTTTTTCGTTCTACACTGCACTGTTTACATCTTTATTTATACGAAATAACGTCTTTCGCGAACTTTCTTGTTTATTTTATTTTCGAGTTTCCGTAAATTCTAGAACGTTTCTCTGTGGTCAAGTTTACAAAAACTAAACAATCATTGACTAAGTATAAAAGATTTTTCTATATGGTCAAGTTCACAAAAACTAAATAACTATCCGCAAAAAATGTCTACAACAATTTTATTCCGTAAAATAACAACATAACAAATCGGAATCCTTTTAAATTCCTCAAGCGGGTCGAAGTGTTGAAAAACAAGACAAACCGAAATGAAGTGAGATCATCATATATTATCGTTTGCATCTATAGACATAACCTGACATTTTTATATATTTTAGTATTATTTGACTGATGAAATTATTAATTGTACCTGTATTTTTCTATCTTTGATAAAAAAAAGTCCGGTGTAGCAAGTAGTTTGTAGTAGTTAAATGCATAACTTTAACCAATAAAATCATCGTGATGTAGTTATATTTAGGAACAATTTTACAAATATGTATAGAATACATGGAAAAATACCTGATATTCTTAATACTTTAACTTCCAAAGCAGTGATAAAATTCCTATAAATCTTTCTACAAAAAATTATCACCATATGGTATTATATTGTTTTAACGTTATAAAACAATATTTAAACGAAATTAAAATGCAGAAATTTTGATTTTCTATTCATTTCTCTTCTTACTATAATAACTCAACTACCTACGTTATAGATATTTATATAATTTTAAAAAATAATAAATTTTTAAAAAACGATAAAATTGACTGAGTAACATTTGACAAATAAATTTAATTATTTTTGTAGCACTGATATATTTTTAATATTGTCTAAATGAATGACTTAATTAATATTTGTCTAATATTGTTTTATTTAGGCTTGAGCTTTGCAACTTCAGCGGTTACAAAATATACCCTGGCCATGGAAAGCGATATGTTAGATCAGATGGCAAGGTATGCAAAACTAGACTGATTCTGTTATGTTATTTGCTGTTAAATTATGATTATATGATTTGATTAATTTTAGCATCTCATTAAAGTGTATTTAAATTTAAATATTTTGTGGTTGTAAATTAAAATATAAGCTAAAAGTTCAATTTTTAAAAGTTCTTATCTAATATTCATAGACTTATAAAAAAATGATAAAATAATGTCTACCTTAAATGCTCTTGTAATCATTAAGATCTGACAAAAGCTATCTAAATTATGTTGCGTATTTTACACAGATCACTATGAGTTTCTCATGTTAACAAAAATCAATATTTGTTAATCCTACAGTTAAGCGACCTTAAATCATTTTAATTTTTTACTTAAGATGCTCTAGTCAGTTAAGACTTTTTACACAAAGAATATTTATTAGAATAATAAAAGAAAGAAATTGCTCTTTGCTTAGCCCTCATTCGTAGCAGCAAATTCTTGCTGCAGCAGGCTTTAAGATAGTTGATGTATGTATTAAAGCCAACAAATATTCCTTATGTTTAAATAGTCTCTACTATAAAGAGTGTAACAAGAAAAAAAGTCAAACTATTTTTAGGCCGCCTAACTTTAACTTTACCCAAATTTTCCATTTTGTTCTCCCATTAATATTTGAATTATATTTCAAAAATAGGTTTTTTACAGTTGTTTTTTTATATGCAAGTTGTAAATAAATTTTACATTTAAATATCACCAGTTTTTTGTGCTGGAAAAAAAAATAATTTTTTGACACCTTTTTTTTAGAAAATTATCTTTTTCTCTAGCACAAAAAAATAAATTATTTTTCTTAACAAATTAAAGATTAAAATCTGGTTTCAAGCTTCATTTGTTGAGAAAAAAACCTTAACTTAATCTTATGTAAATTTAGTTAAGTTATATTTGTGAAAGTAATCTAGAAATGCAGTTCAAATTTAATTTATTTGGAAGTGTAAAAATGTAAAATAAAATTTGTAGTTGCTAATTTATTTCTAGTTATTTCATAAATTTTTGAATTTTAGCTTTTCAATTTCCTAAGTAAAAAAAGTGAACGCTCTTTTCATATGAGAAGAAATCCACGTAAAATTTCATGGACAGTATTATACAGAAAAAAACATAAAAAGGGAACTCAAGAGGAGCTTTCAAAAAAAAGAACCAGACGTACTGTAAAGTTCCAAAGAGCCATCCAAGGAGCATCACTAGAAGCAATTCTTGCTAAAAGAAACATGAAACCTGAATTAAGAGAAGCTCAAAGAAATCAAGCAATAAAGTAATTTTTTTATTAAGTTATATATTTTTTATGTATTACTAAGTTTAAAATAATTTAGCTATAAAAAGAATTATTTTAAATTTTTTAGAATAATTTTTTAAAACTCTAATTGTTAATATTTAAAAACCTTTTTTTTATATGAAAGAAGGCAACAAATATTTAGTTTCTAATGTAAGTTTATATCGAAATTTATGTCAAAAATGCATATTCACACTGAAAACATAATCACACTAAATAAGGGCAGGTCTTGTTAAGAAGTGATTTCCAACTCACCTTTTACATATAAGATGACATTCCTTAGAATTAGGGTCAGCATTCGGCAACATATACCTTGTTTCTATGTTTATGGTGAAATTTTTAAATCCAAATTTTTTTTTGGCAACATGATACTGATCTTTAACAAAGTAAGGTTGGCAAATTATCAACTTAATTTTTCCTAATTCTAAAATTCCATTTTTTATATATTTAGCGGTTTTATGTTTAGCAACTTTTTTTATTTTAGAATATCTTTTAATATTATGTGACAAGGTTCGAAAAATATAAAGTCATTAAAAAAAAAACTAATCATTTTATTTTTTTTATTTATTTTTTTTTTAAATTAAGGCTTTAAAATTGATGTGATTTTTAAAATTTTAAATGTGAACTAGTTATTATGACATAAATTAGTTAAATCCTCTAATTAACTTATTTAAAACTTTTGTTGCTCTATATATCTATAAAAAGGCAAAAAATATTTTTTATGGAACAGAGCAATATATCAAAGGAACATCTAACCTTATTTTACTGTTTCTTCCAAGGGGTTTATTCTTTACTTGCACTAATATGTAAACATTTGGGTTCTTTAATTGCTACCTTATGTCTTTTTCTTTCCATAACTTTTTTTTTAATTTTTATAAAGATTTTGTTTTATAATGTTTTGAATAGATTTAACATATTAATAGGTTTTAAATCCTAAATAAAGTTTTAAACAGATTTTAGATAATTTTAATTATTGTTTAGAGTCGCAAAAGAAAAGGCTAAAGCTAAAAAATCAGAAAAGAAAGCAGCTAAGGTTAAACTTATTTTATACAATTTATTGCTTAGTTATTAAAAACTGTTTAATATTTGTATAAAATAAAAGTATTATATAACAATCCATTCTCATTAATCACTTTTGCATTTGTAATAAAATGTTTATTATTTTAGTAATTTACAAATAATAAGTTACAGTAAAAATAAAAAATAAAGTATTAACGAGTTAATGATTTAAAAGGATGTATAATGGTCTTAAAAACTTCCTTTTTGGCCAAAATTAAAATTTTGATGTTTTTATACTAAATCGATAGTGCTGAATCAAGTTTTTCAGACCACTGTGGCATTTTGTCACTTACTGGAAGTCTGATCAAATAATGAACTTGATTTAATCAAGAAATCAGTATGATTGTGATGCTAAAATAATCTTATTGATTAAATATTTTCAGACTGATAAAGTTTAGTGACATTTATTTTGATAATTTAATAAAGTTCCTGAACTGGAGAGAGTTTTAACAGTTATGTTATGGTAATCAGAATACAACTGCTAACTCATGCTTTCGAAAAATGATATGATATAAAGCTCTAAATCTTCATCTCAAAATATCTCTAGCAAAATTTACAGTGTGTGTCTAGTGTCTTTTCATGTAGCGTAAAATTACTTATTTTGTGTAAAATCGTTTCCGTGCAAGAATTGATCTCCTTGCACTTGTTGTGGTGTTGATTCTTTAAGTATCCAGATACTTGGCCAGAGTACTCCTCAACAAAAATTATGTAGATCATGCAAAAGTCAAATTAAATTGACAGATTCAGTAAATCAATATACTTTTTTATTTCCTAATTTATTCTTGTTTTAAAATGTTTATTACTATAAAGTAAACAGTTTTTAAGTAAACTACTATCGGGTAAAGTTGTGCGACTTGTTTTTTATTTGCTACGTTTTTTAAATTTACATTAAGTTAGTCAGGTAAAATGAAATAAAAAATTGTCTGGCCACTGTGGTTTCATCCTTTTTTTTTTTTTTTTTTCTTTGTTTTTTCTTTATATGATAGGGCATATATCTGATATATATATGATAGGGCAAATATCAAAAAAATACATTTACAAAAAAATATATTTATATTTACCGAAAAATGCCTAAAATTGTTCTTAAAATATTTGGCATTAAATGCAAGATAAATCTATATTTTGTTTAAAAAAAAATCTAATGTGATCATATTGGTCCTTATTTTTTAGACTATCTGTTTTTTTCTTAATAGTAGTTTACGATTAAAAAAAAGATCTCGCAAAATTTATGCAAATAAATTGATTTTGTGAAATCTTTTTTTAATTTAAATAATTATGAAAAAACCAGGATAGACAATCTAAAAGAAAATTTAGACCAAATTAGAAGGAAAAAAAAACTTGAATAAAACTCTCCGTAGAACGATAAACAAAATCTTCCAATCATGTTTAAAAAAATTATGTACGCGGAATTTATATTTTGCCCGGTGGGATGGTTTTCTGTTCCGTTTCGCAAAGTTATTTCCTTAATATAAAATCTTTTTTTAATAGCTTTTTGTTTTGAATCTAATATTTTTGTTAATTTTATCTCATGTTTTAATGTTTTAGAAAGCTGCTCCAGTTGCTAAGAAACCAAAGGAGAAAGTTGCTAAGACTGTACCTAAAGGTGGACCCGGTCGTGTTGGCGGAAAAAGATAATCTGTTTTCCTGTTTAATAAATTATACAAAGCAGTTAGGTTATATTTACTGTGTTGAAAATAAGAATTCTTTGCGACGAGTAGAGCCATCTATCTTGCTTCAGATAAATTGCTTAATTTTTCCCTTTTTTTTCTACTTAACCATTATTACCTATTTCCAATTAACTTTTCTTTTTCAATTAAATCTGTTACTACTAAACTTTTTTGTGTTACTTGGTAAGTAAGTCCAAAGCTGAAGTTGCACCGTGTAAAAAAAGACGCCACAATTAGCTCATTACAAAAAATTATTTCCAGGTCAAACAAAGTGTACTGTGGGGCAAGGGTTTTATTATAAAATTTAAGAGACTCTAAATTTAAAATAAAATGTTGGCTAGGTAGGATAAGGCGTTTTTGGGATGAGCTCAAAAAAGCTTATAGAAAAATGTGGGGGGTCTAATAAAAACTTCATAATCGACCCCTAACGATCATTTAACCATAATTTTCTTAACCCCTTTTTGCATAACTTTTTTTTATCGAACTAAACTAATAATTCTAGAAGCATTCTATAACCTAACATCCAAAAAAAAAATTAAAAATAAAAAAAAAAATTTTTAAGAACAATTATTTGCTAAATAATTAATTGTATCATATATGATACATCATGCAGTAGTGGAACTTCATGAAAAAATTATAAACTAATGTTTGTTGCTAAACAGAGAGTTTATCTTGGAATATGACCTTGGTAGTTTAATATACTCAGTAAAGATATCATTATATATAAAAAATCTATTGATGGAAAGCTTTAAAACAGTTGCGGTCTTTATTAAGACACAGAGCAGTGTCACACTTTTCACAAAATAAATATGTTAAGGCAGAGCACTTGTCATATTTGCAACGAGTCCGCTTTTCATTGAAAATGGGCCAATGTCCAACTTGATCAGACTGAATTGCTTCATGGGTAATGGCAATTTTTGAGCCAACACGTTGTGTGATGTCAGCAAGTGATGGGCGACCTGCTTTTCGTTTACGCGACACCTGGTAATTAGACAACAAATCTGCTACCGCCAATTTGAATTTGAAAAGTGGAGTTGACGGATTACGCTTTTGCCAAAGAATCCAGGCATTGATTATGGACATATCAATCAAGTGGAAAAAGATCCTGTGATACCACTTTTTTGACCGAATCTTGTTCCTGTGATAGCCAAGTAGAGAATCAAGCAAGTCGACTCCCCCCATGTGCTTGTTGTAGATAGTGACTACTCCTGGACAGGAAATGTTGATATGACACATATCTTTTCTTGAAAAACCTTCTAACCTCAATTGAAGGTTCACTTCCAATAAAATTGGACATCAATGTTACAACTTTGTTGTCAAACCAGGAAACTACCGATACATCAACTCCGTCAACCTTGGCAACATGTTCTGTAAATGCTCCGCGACCCCTTTGCTTCGTTTCCTTATCTGACAATACTGGGCAATTTCCAACACGGTTCCTACGTGCAGTTCCAACCATTTGAATTCCCCTCTTGAACATATAAACATTTAAACCAATGTTATTGAACCAATTGTCAACATACAATTTATGATTAATGTCATCGGGCAGGATTCAGGCTAGGCGCATGACAACGTTACTACTTGCCCCAAGGTCTGGTTCATTCTCAAAGCAAATGTAGTCACTTCCTCCACAGTAAACTTCAAAATTATAGCTGAAGCCAGAGACACCACTCAGAACAAAAACTTTAAACCCCCATTTGTGTGGTTTTTTAGGGTTGTATTGTTTGATTAAATGTCTCTCTTTGAACGGAATAATCTGCTCATCAACCGCCAAATTTTCTTCAAATGGAATACTGTTCAGCTGTTCATTCATTTTGTTTATGAGAGGGCGTATCTTGAAAAGCTTATCGTCTTTGTCAGCAGAGTTGTTGTCAGCAAAACGAATAATGCTTTTTAATTTTTCAAAGCGGTTGACGGGCATAATATTAGCTACATGAGCAATTCCAATGGAAGACGACCAATAATCTCTTGTGCTTGGGAGTTTGACAACAGACATATACAAAACACATGCAACAAAACTAATTATATCTTCCTCTTTTACAGCAGCTGGTTTTTCAGGATTGGTTTGCATGGAATACAACATTGTCTGATAGGCAATTTCTTGAAAAAGCTCTTTTGGAAAAATCCGATAAAAGCATGACAGTTCTGAACCAAGACAATCCAATAACTCGTCCATTTTTTGTTGGTACCTTTAAATTTGTGGTCTTCTTGTTTATTTGGAAGACTTTTAACTTTCCACAATAGCTGAGATTTTTTTGCAGGCTTTTTTCCATTTGCGTTTGGTTTATTGGTAGCTTGCACTACTGTTGCACCTTCTTTTTTATCCGCGCTGCCATTTGCTCTTCCTAATATTGAAAGTAACTGATTGTCATTGCTGTCAGCATTTTCATCACTGCTATCAACTTCCTCACTGGACGAAGAAGGTATTGGCAAAAATAGTTCGCAATCAGTTATATTTTCTTCATCGCTGGAATCTCCGCCTGAGGAGCATAGATCTGAGTCGTCATCAGCAAATTTGATCAAGACAGGCGCTTGTATCCTGAGGATACCAGAAGGCTTTCTACCATAGAAAGAAGTTGGCTTGATTGCTAAAGATTAGAAGAAATAATAAAAACGTTTTATAACAAAAGAAATAACAATAAATCAAAAATATGAAATTAAAATTTTTTGCTTTAGATGCATGATGTATCATTTCTGATACATTTACAAAAAGAGTTGTTGTGGAATGAAAGTTTAAGAAATTAGGTAAATAAAAACGCAAAAGGACTACCAATAGGTATAAGAAACTTTGGGAATTTTTGTGGGTTTATGATTGAAAGAAATCTTTCTTAACAAAATGATGTACTTACAATAATTAGTTGATTTGCTGCCGGATGCCATTTTGATAATATGAGAAATAAAATTGAAAGTAAAATTTGCAAAAAACATTCCAAGTACGGTGGCCACACTCACTTAAATATTGCACGCTTTAAATAAACTTAATTCCTATTTAAAATTGCTGAGCGTTTGACCAGAGATACACAATTTATAAACTGTATCATATATGATACAGTATGCAGAAAGGGGTTAATGAGCAATGTTTTTAAAGTCATTATGCAGAAATTAAGCATTTTGGCTTAAAGCGGCTATTTTTGCTTTCATTTTCAATATGCGTTTTGAAAAAGCATAACGCAATTTGTTTTAAATTTATTTTTGAAACAATTTATTTTTTCTAAATAATTTTTTTTTTTATATCCTGATAAACGAAGTTCGAAATACTTTAGACGAAGACTTTTCACATTCGATGGTTTATTCAAATTAGTATTAAGTCTTTCTTTAGTTTTAATTAAATTTCTCGAGTATTAATCTAATCATTTATCTAGATTTAAATTTAATTATTTCTAATCATTATTAATATCAAATATTTACCCTATGGATGGAAAAGAAACTAGCAGTGTCAATCGTAAAACAAGGGAAAATGTTGCAAAAGAGCACATTAAAATACTTAAGCATTTAGTTGAAAGAAATGAATCTACAACAAGCATTACCACTTATCTTAATTTATCTAATCGTACAGTTCAAAATCTTCTCGTTAAGTTAAACAGGAGAATTCGACGATATGACTGCATTCAAGTCGTTTTTTGATCGAGTTAAGGTGAGTTTCCACTCATCCGTTTTTTCACGGGATAGGAAAGGGGAAAATAATCACGTGAGCATGCGTGGTTTTCCTTCGGACATATTAAAAGTTATACTACGCATGCCCACGTGATTATTTTTACCCTCCCTTTTCCGTTCCCGTAAAAAAGCGGATGAGTGAAAACTCGCCTTTAAAAAAACTATAAACGCTCAAATAAAAAAATTATCCAATTATGTACACGAAAACAATATTTGCATGCAATAAGCAATAAAAGACAATCTTTCTGATGTAGGCCTCAATATGTCTCAGCTTACTATTTCAAGACTCAAACGCCCGGATTTATCAAGAAAGCATGTTGCGCCTGTGCCACACGAACGAAACTCAACACGAGTTATTGATGCACGTTATTTAGTTGCAAGTGAAATTAACAGAATTTCACATCTATAACTTATTTATTTGGATGAAACTGGATTTAATATGCACACTAACAACAAAGAGGTGCGCCAGTAATTTTACAGTCATCTGCAAATCATGGCAAGAATGTTAGTCTAATTTGTGCTGTTTCAACAATGGAAGTGCTGGCTTATGAAACAAAAACTGGAGACTAGAATGCAGATTCATTTAGTACTTTTATTATAACAATGTTAGCACCAGCGATTAGGAATGCAAGTGTGGAAGCGCCGATGTTTGTTATGGACAATTGTAAATTCTATTAGAGTCTTCCTGTTTGACAAACACTAGCCCCTCTCATGGCACAGCTATATACGAATCTAAACGTTTCCAAGTGACAATAATGAATTCGCTCGTTTATTTATAGTCATTTTATTATAATTTAATTGCGAACATATTATTTACAAATATTAAAATTAAATATAATAACCACAAAGTTTTATATTAATAACTTTACATACATGTAATTACGTTGGCGTAATTTCCCAATACCTTCACGAAGTCCGTATGATTACAAATACATTAATGTTAATATAAAGATTTAACACAACAATATAAAGTTATATTAGAGAAAAAGTAGTTGACTCGCATTTAAACGCGCATATAAGAATGAATAAACACGCATGTAAGAATGAGTAAACACGCATATAAGAATGAATAACCCTGTAAAATAAGACGAAGTCTTGTACATTGATTACTAACGAGATCTGCACTTTTCCAAAATTTGCCATTTATACTGTTAATTTATCGACTCTAAATTATATAAATATCCAGTGAAAAAATTAATTTTAAGTGGTGTGAAATATTAGGTTCCAGTGGTTGGAGTGCTTGCTTTATAAGCAAGAGATCGAAGCGAACTCTTGGCATATTTCTCGCCATCAGTATGGCAGGAAGCGAGTTAGATGCCACTTATGCGAAAATATCGTTAGGTCTTCTTGGGATGCTTAAAAAGAAATAACGTGCCTTGATATTTATCTGATGTTGATTACTCTAGCGGAGCATCAACTTTATTTTAGTCTTAATGTGGCATCTTTTTTACTTTCGTCATTAATTTCGTGTTGCATAGCTCATTAATTTCGTCATTAATTTCGTGTTGCATACCTACTAAAACCTACAAACTTAATCTACAAAATAAAACATCTACTAAAAAGTGGAAATAATTTTTATATGTCCTACTGACGTCTAAATTGTTTTCAACCTACTATAGTCCTTTTTTAATTCGACTGATTTATGACGTTTTCATTTTTGACCGATTTTTTTCTCAACCAATTTTAGAGACTTATTTTCAACCGGTTATAGGAAATATTCATTTCAACCTACTAATCTGTATTTTTACCACTCCCCCTCCCACCCCCCACCCGCACCTTGTATAAAGGACTTGAGAGTAATATATAAAAAAAGAGTTCAGATAAGCGACTTTGGTACGGGAGGAGGCGTAAACATCTTGTTAAATGCCCTTCTGTGGTGCTCTACAATATGACCGTTTGGTCTCCTTAGAGAATAAATTACCGCCATTTACATCAAATGTTAGAAATTTTTTTTTTTTCTTCTAATTTTTTTGTTTTTTTGTTTTTGTTATTTAGATGCTCCAAGAAAACCTAACGGTCTTGTCACAGAGCACCGCGGAATTGTATCTAACCAGGAAGTTCACGCCTCCTTTCTTACCGTGACGCGAAAATATGTCCAAAGCTTGTTTCGAACCTGCATCTCCTGCTTATAAAGCAAGCGCTCTAACTACTGCGCCACGGCCGTTAATTATTAAGGTGCTCTAACAAGACCTAATAGTTTTGTCGTAGAGCTGCGCGGAAGAGCATTTAAGAAGAAGTTTCACGCCGCCTTACATAAACAGACCAGACATCAATCCTTGGACCTATCAATTATAAGCCAGCGTTCCAGTCACTGCGCTAGGGCAGATTAAATTCAGCTCTGATTCAAATCAACAACGAATAAAAAATAAAAAATACATACCGGAAAAAACATAGTTAAAAAAATAGTTAACATAGTTAAAGAAAAAATATGCAAATAATATGTGTAATCAATATAAGAAAAAAAATTGTAAACTCCTTAAATAATATATGTATTTCCGAAATCAAAAAACTTCCGTAAGCTGTCAAATCAGCCCATAACAAAAAAATTTACGAAAAAACTAAAAAGTATAATACCTACACATAACAAATCTTCAAATGTTTTGGAACTATATGTGTAAAATCAAAAATAACAGTCAATGTTTTAGAAGGAGAGAATTAGCAAAAAATAGGGTCAAACTTGCACAAAAATGGTATAAAGCTGAAATTTTGCAGAGAGAAAGCAGACATGCTTTAAATGAGCTTAAAAAAAGCCCCTTGATTGCGCTACGAGAGCATCTCTTTTGGGGCAATTTGGGGTAAAAAAAAAAAAAAGTTAATTTTGACAGCACCAAACTATAATAAACTATATATCGTTGGATTGAAAACAATTATCTTTAAAGTTATTTACGTTTGAAAAGTGTAAAAATCTTAAAATACTGTATATATATTTTTTTCAAAACATAACTTTTGTCTGTGCGTAACTTTGGGAAAAAAATTGTGAAAAGAAATAGATTATTTTAATTTAACTTTGGGACTTAAATGTAATTTCTTCAAAATTAGATGTCCGAAATCTGACTTCTTTCGAAACAAATCATCAAATAAATTTTACTCGTTTTCAATTTCATCACTTAAATCTTCTTCAATTTCAAAATCCTAAAAAATGTAAAACAACCGTATCACAAAAATAACTAATATACTTTAAAAAAGTTTATGTGCATATAATATATTCAAAAAATAAAATTTACGGTTTTATTACTGTAGTCTTGCCCGTGTTTTCCCAGTATTGAAGATGTCAAGTCACATCCTGACCATGCATGAAGAAATAACAGATGTTCTATAAAATCCATTACTCGAGATTGAGCATCTTTTATACTGCAGAGTTTTTTCTTGTTTTCATAATAAAAAAACCTCATTTAATTTATCTTTCCAACGATACATTTACATCACTGCTATATCCGTATCATCGACAATAACGACACATGGTGAAATTTCTTTTGCAACTTCCAACAATTTAGAGACAATTTTCGTGTCGAAGACATTTTATCATAACCATCAAATATAATATAAGTAGTAGCATAATTTTTTCCTATATAGCTGAAGTAGTTCTTAACAATTTCTATAAATCTCATACCTTTGTTCCTAAAAACTCTGTTGTGTAAAGAACCTCCGTCAAAGACATATTTGCACATGCTGACGTTCGTACTTAATTTAATTTTGTTGTCAGTAAAAACCATTTTGCGCAAAAATAATTTTTTTGCTTTCAGCATAAGGTTATTTAAAAAATGGTTGTGGGAGATGAGCAAGGTCATAATCAAAGTATAGTTTAACGTCATCCTTTCCTTCTGCAATTGCTGCAAGCCAATTAAAAAGGAGTGTTCAATCAACACAACAATTGGTTTATTAGTCTAGTTTTTACGTTATTGGTCACAACACCTGTAGATAATGAATATAGATTTCTATCATCAATATTGAATGGGTTTCTTACAGCAAGCCAGTCATAAAACAATTTACGATTTTCATAATCACATACTAATCTTTTAATACCCATTTCTTTATTGTTTTCTATGACTCCGATGTCAAATCCAGATAATTTATGCATTGCTTCATGAACACATGCAGAATAACAGATGCTCATTTCCATAGGTCGCGTACATTTTCATCAAATCTTCTACCTCTAGTTAAACCACCATTGCATTTTAAAAAAACGCATCAGGGTCTGCTCAATTACAAGATCAGAAGATCGCCGCACTGCGTGATGACTATCTAAAAATTGTTAGTGTAACCACGGATTTGTTTCTGCATTTCTTCCAAGTATAAGCTGGAACACTTGGTATAGTTTAAATGTCCTGATGCTAAAAATAAGTTATGATTTTTTGAGATTGCTTGAAGATGAAAATTCCAGTAACAAGTTCTCTCTGCAACTAAAAATTCATTTATGATACAAATATAATATGTACATAATCCAAAGTTTTGCAGTGCGTGATTCATTTGACTTTTTTCCTGTATAGGTTATATATACATATTTAATATGGCACATTCAATATTTTTGAAAGCATCTGTATTACCAAGTCTGATTAATTTTTCCTTGTTCATACCATTTTGAATTGCCATTTTATAAGTGTATTCCGGTCCGGATATATCTAGTTTTGATTCGTCAACTAAAATATCTATAATATGACTCAATATACTCTGAACCAACATGTGACCTCTTAAGGCTCTTGCAACAGTTTTTCCTTTATGCATACATTTTACTGTATCTTCAGAGCAAATCTGCTCTAAAACCTTTTCCAGACCAGTTCCTGCCATTAGTTATCCAATGTTTCCGAGAAAGCTCATCATTTTGTGAAATCATCCAAGTCGACATACTATATTGAGGTTCTGATCTTTTATAACACCGTGCGCTTTCTGCCACAAAGATTGGTCAAACATAAATCAGGAAGTAATTATTTTATATTTATTCGCTTCATCAATAATGAACAACAGTGTAGAATATATGCATGTTTCATCTGAAGAATTTAAGTCAATAATAGGTAAAAATTTGATGGATGCTTTTTCATAAGCTGTTATTAATTGTGATGTAGTATGCATCATTTAACCTGACCAGTTTGAGCAAAAACTATTTTTTAAACTAAAAAAACGTGCAGCAAACCAAATAAGCTCAAGATTGATTTTGGGCGCACGAAATACTTCAGATACAATTTATTTTATTGGTTCAAAACTTACATTTAATAAACTGCGGTAGCATGATCCGTGATAAAGCGTTATTTTTAGACACATCAGATAAATTTTAATAGATTTGTCTTTCAAACGCGTTATGCTTTTATAATTGTAACACTTTAGAAGCAAGTTTTTTATGAGTTGTCACAAGATCACAACCCCCTCCTCCCTAAAAGTGTGAGGTAATTTATGGACGACCCTTAAACAAAAAGAATTTCATATAAGTGTAAATGGCGTGGTTATTGAAAGGGCACATAGAACCGGAAAAACTGGGCAAAGTAAACCTAGATCAATCGTGATAAAACTTCTGAACTACAAAGATAAAGTTAACATATTAAAAAAACTCGAAAAAATTAAAAGGAACAGAAATATTTATAAACGAAGATTATTTTTTGGATACCCTAAACATACGAAAAACTCTTTTTGAAGAAATGCGAACTCACAGGACAAATGGTAAGTATTCTGTCATTATTTATGATAAATTAGTAGTTAAAGATTTTAAAAAATTACTTAAAAAAGCCTAAAGCTTATATATTTTAAACATCAGAAGCATAAATAAAAACTTTGAAAATTTAAAATTAATGTTAAATAATATAAAAAACATGTTCAGTATTATCTGTCTGACAGAAACTCGATGTTATCGAGACACGATTAATTCTAACTTTCAATTATCAGGATATAAATCCATCCATCAACCGAGAGAAAACGGCATTGGCGGAGGCGTATCTATTTTTGTCCAAAACTCATTGACCTTTAAGCATGTAGATAACCTTAAAGTAAATGACGCTGATTGTGAGTAATTTACTATTGAAATAATTAATAAAGCAATTAAAAATACATTTATAACAGCATTATATAGACCGTCTAATGGTAATTACAATCAGTTTGAAAACCACGTAAATTACTTGCTTAAAAAAACACGTGTATTTACTGAGTGATTTTAATTTGAATTTTCTGAACAATAAAACAAACCACGTTGCGCGTTTTATAAATACACTTTTGCAATACAGCGTTTTTCCCATAATGAACAAGCCAACACGCGTGACTAAAACAACTGCATCCATTATCGATAATATCATTACTAATAATTACACAAGGGCTAAAATGCAAAGTTGTATTATTAAAACAGATATCACTGATCATTTTCCAGTTTTTCTGATCACAGATTCGGCAACGCCTGAGAAAAAAATAGAAACAAAAACTATTTATGTAAGAAACATAAATAATGAATCAATCGTCACTTTTTGCGACCTCCTTAAAAAAATAAACTGGGAACTATTGACTGATTGCAATGATGTAAATAATGGCTATGATTTTTTTATTCGAGTGTTTACTAAGCAATACGAAAAAGCCTTTCCAAAAATTAAAAAATTTATTAATTCTAAAAATTTGCTTAGTCCGTGGATGACGAAAGGACTCATTAAGTCATCAAAAAAGAAACAAAAACTTTACCAAAATTTTAAAAAAAAAAGAACTACAAAAATGAAATAAAATACAAAAAATATAAAAATTCTTTCGAAAAGTTAAAAAAACAATCAAAAAAAAATTACTATTCCTTATTGCTTAATAAACCATTTGGAAAAGCAAGAAAAACATGGAATGTAATTAAAGAAATAACAGGCGTAGCAAATGTAAAAATTGATAATTTCCCAAAAAGATTGCAAATAGATGGTAATATAGCAGATGCTTTTGTAAATAAAGAAATTGCAGAAACATTTAATGACTTTTTTATAAATATAGGGAAAAAACTGGCCAGTGCAATTCCTGAGGGGAATTGAGTGTTAATAGATGAGTCGGAGCTTCTGGTTGATGAACTTTGGCTAGCAACTAGTATGTTGAAAACAAATAAGAGTGCGGGTCTAGATGAAATTAACCCCAATGTTGTAAAAGCGGTCTCTGATATTATTGAGAAACCTCTTTTTATAATTTTTAATCTTTCCCTAAGAAACGGCATTTTTCCTGACCAACTAAAACTAGCAAAAATAATTCCAATATAAAAAGGGGCGATGATTCGATAAAATCTAACTATAGACCAATTTCCATACTTTCCTGTTTTTGTAAAATACTAGAGCGTATTATGCACAACAGGCTGTACAATTATCTTGAAACTAATAACATTCTTTATCATAAACAGTTTGGTTTTCGCAAAAACCATTCCACGGAGCATGCAGTAATTGATCTTGCAAACCAAACTCTAAATGGTTTTGAAAATAATAGTTACACTCTCGGAATATTTCTAGATCTATCCAAAGCCTTTGATACTGTCAACCACAAGATTCTTATCAACAAACTATGTAATTACGGAGTAGCTCACTCTAACTTAAAGTGGCTGCAATGTTATTTAGAAAATCGTAAACAAGTAGTACCATTTGATTTAACATACTCCCCATTTGAGTCAATAAGTTGTGGAGTTCCACAAGGATCAATACTTGGACCTTTACTGTTTTTAATTTATATTAATGATATTTATTTGTCATCAAAAATACTTAATTATTTTATTTTTGCTGACGACACTAATGTTTTCTATTCTGATTCAAATTTAAAAAATATTTTCTGTAATGTAAACACTGAACTAACATATCTCAATGAGTGGTTTATAGCAAATAAACTTTCGTTGAATATTGAAAAAACAAAATATATTTTGTTTGCTAAACCATCTAAATCCGAGAATCTTACACTTACACTACCAGAACTAACTATTAACAATATTAAAATAAAAAGAGTGTTTTTAATGAAAATACTTGGAATAATTTTTGACGAACATTTAAATTGGAAAAGCCAAATAAAGCTAGTCGAGAACAAAGTCTCAAAGACTTTAGGGATAATGTATAAGACTAAAACTCTTTTAAACAAAATATGTTTAAAAAATTTTTCGTTTATACATAGTCATATTAACTATTGTAATATTGCCTGGGCAAACAATTACTCATCTTTCCTAAAACCTATTTACACAAAACAAAAGCAAGCAAGTCAATTAGTTTCGGGCATGGATAGATACGAAAGTGCCGAGCCGTTACTCAAGGAAAAAAATTCCCTAAATGTATACAAATTAAACATCTACCATAACTTGTTATTTATGTTTAAACTTCAAAACGAATTAATTCCAAAATATTTTTATAAAAACCTCTCTCCTATTAATCATAAATATAAAACAAGACACTCAATAAATAATTACTACATCCCACTAACATTACTCAAAAAGTCTGACTTCTCAATCACATGTCGGGGACCATGTTTGTGGAACTCGGTTCTTGACAAAAATATTAAAAAAATAAAATCTATTGATATATTTAAAGGAGCTATAAAAAAACACTTACTAAATTTAAACAATACGTACATTCTTTCATTTTTTTAATTAAAATATATATACATATATATATATATATATATATATATATATATATATATATATATATATATATATATATATATATATATATATATATATATATATATATATATATATATATATGTATTTTGCGTGTGTATGTATATATATATATATATATCCCAGCAAACAAAAAGACATCTTTAAGTTGTCTTAAAGACGTCTTTTCAAGATTAACAAAAACGTCTTAAATATATCTTAAAAAGGTTTACGTTGTCCGTCGAAAAGACGTCAAACTCAAAATTGCTTAAAGACGTCTTACTAAAGACTAGATTAAAGCGTCTTATGTAAACGGCCTAAAGACGTTTTATTAAAGATATGTTAAAGATGTCTTAAAAAGGTCTACGTTGTCCGTCGAAAAGGCGTCATACTCAAGATTGCTTAAAAACGTCTTACTAAAGACTGGTTTAAAACGTCTTATATAAACGGCCTAAAGACGTTTTATTCAAGACGTCTTTTAGGTGTTTAGTTTATATTAAAATAAGCTTCTTAAAGAAGTCTTAAAATAGCTAAGTAAATAAAAAACGTCTTAAAATAGCTAAAAATAAGTTAGTTGTATTGTATCTTTCTATATAACAACTTATACAGCATATAACATATATACAACATATACAATAAAAAATAATAATTCATTTTAGTTTGTATTTTTCTACGATGGAGCATTTTTTTAAAAATCGTCCAATTTGCTGTTTAGTATCAGCGTTTGAAACTTTTTCAAATTCTCTTTTTACAACTTCTAAATATAAAATAAAATTTGCAGATAATTGCCAAATAGTAAAATATAAACTAGCCAAATAGTAAAATATAAACTAGCCAAATAGTAAAATATAAACTAGCCAAATAGTAAAATATAAACTAGTCAAATAGTAAAATATAAACTAGCCAAATAGTAAAATATAAACTAGCCAAATAGTAAAATATAAACAAGCCAATAGTAAAATATAAACTAGCCAAATAGTAAAATATAAACTAGCCAAATAGTAAAATATAAACTAGCCAAATAGTAAAATATAAACTAGCCAAATAATAAAATATAAACTAGGCAAATAGTAAAATATAAACTAGCCAAATAGTAAAATATAAACTAGCCAAATAGTAAAATATAAACTAGCCAAATAGTAAAATGTAAACTAGCCAAATAGTAAAATGTAAACTAGCCAAATAGTAAAATATAAACTAGCCAAATAGTAAAATATAAACTAGCCAAATAGTAAAATATAAACTAGCCAAATAGTAAAATATAAACTAGCCAAATAGTAAAATATAAACTAGCCAAATAGTAAAATATAAACTAGCCAAATAGTAAAATATAAACTAGCCAAATAGTAAAATGTAAACTAGCCAAATAGTAAAATATAAACTAGCCAAATAGTAAAATGTAAACTAGCCAAATAGTAAAATGTAAACTAGCCAAATAGTAAAATATAAACTAGCCAAATAGTAAAATGTAAACTAGCCAAATAGTAAAATATAAACTAGCCAAATAGTAAAATATAAACTAGCCAAATAGTAAAATATAAACTAGCCAAATAGTAAAATATAAACTAGCCAAATAGTAAAATATAAACTAGCCAAATAGTAAAATATAAACTAGCCAAATAGTAAAATGTAAACTAGCCAAATAGTAAAATGTAAACTAGCCAAATAGTAAAAATTAAACTAGCCAAATAGTAAAATATAAACTAGCCAAATAGTAAAATATAAACTAGCCAAATAGTAAAATATAAACTAGCCAAATAGTAAAATATAAACTAGCCAAATAGTAAAATATAAACTAGCCAAATAGTAAAATGTAAACTAGCCAAATAGTAAAATATAAACTAGCCAAATAGTAAAATGTAAACTAGCCAAATAGTAAAATGTAAACTAGCCAAATAGTAAAATATAAACTAGCCAAATAGTAAAATGTAAACTAGCCAAATAGTAAAATATAAACTAGCCAAATAGTAAAATATAAACTAGCCAAATAGTAAAATATAAACTAGCCAAATAGTAAAATATAAACTAGCCAAATAGTAAAATATAAACTAGCCAAATAGTAAAATATAAACTAGCCAAATAGTAAAATGTAAACTAGCCAAATAGTAAAATGTAAACTAGCCAAATAGTAAAAATTAAACTAGCCAAATAGTAAAATATAAACTAGCCAAATAGTAAAATATAAACTAGCCAAATAGTAAAATATAAACTAGCCAAATAGTAAAATATAAACTAGTCAAATAGTAAAATATAAACTAGTCAAATAGTAAAATATAAACTAGTCAAATAGTAAAATATAAACTAGTCAAATAGTAAAATATAAACTAGCCAAATAGTAAAATATAAACTAGTCAAATAGTAAAATGTAAACTAGTCAAATAGTAAAATATAAACTAGTCAAATAGTAAAATATAAACTAGTCAAATAATTTTGCCGAACAAAAATCTTGAAAATAATTTTAATTTAACACAGATTTTTAATCAAATACTAAATAATATTAAAAAACATTATTATGTTAAAACTATTTTTTATTACCTTCTATTACATCATATAGTTTGGTTGATGATAAAACAATCTTTCCTAAAGAACCTTTTTAGTTATATTCTATAACACATAATGAATAAATAATATAATTTATGAAAAATAAGCAATTTACTCAACGGGCATTTTCTATATATCTTACGTTCTGAATGTATTTTAAGAAAGTATTTAGTATTTTACATGCATTTTAGAAACATTAAAGATTTTTTTTTAAAAAAAGAAGCAAATAATTTAATAAGGTACATAAAATACAGTTAGTTGGATTGTTAATTAATATCTTTCTATATAACAATTTACACAAAATAAAAAAGATTTCTATATAAAAATTAACACAAAATAAAAAAGAATAATTCGTTTTATTTATATTTTTCACGCGAAGGAGCATTTTTACAAAAACGTCCAATTTGCTATTTAATTTCAGCATTTGAAACCTTTTCAAACCTTCTTTTTACAACTTCTAAAAATCAAATAAAGCATAATGTAGGATGTACTTGTCAAATATAAAAAATTTAACATAAATTTTTAATTAAATTAAAAGTGCAATAATTAACCTTCTAATACATCATATAGTTTGGTTGAATGTAAACCAGTCTTTCCGCCAGAACCTTTTAAGTTGAACTGTGTCAACAGGGTATTTGTAAATAATCTATAAAACATATCAAATAAATAGTAAAATTCATGAAAAATATTAAACAATTTACTATTATTGATTTCCAAAATTATTAAACCTAAAAAAAAATTTGCAACAAAAAAGTACAAAAATGATAGCCATTCAAAAAAATAATACTAAAACCTATTCATGACCAATCTTATCAGTTGTTTAAAATCTTCGGCACCTAAAAAACTGAATTGTTTAACCTAAACAAAAGTTAGACAAAATAATTATAATACAATAACTAATTTTATTTTTTAATTTATATAGATAAACTATTTACCAAATCAAGTCTAACACAATCAACCACTAAACTTTTGTTAAAGTCCTCAAACTCTATAATTGTTTCTAACTGCTTGATTGCAATATTAATTTGTGGTTGCTTGTTTAATGCTAAAATAAGCTCCTGCCTTTCAAGAACCTTTGAAAGCATATTGAACATCATGTGCTGGTATTCTAAATTATTTGAAGAAAATAAAAAAAGAAATATATTGAACGCAAAACATATATTTATACAATTTCAAAAATATCTATAGCTATTGTTTTTATTCCTAAAAATAATCCAAGTACAAAAAATATTATTTTATTTCCTCCAATATAAAAAATCAAATAAATGCTAAAGGACATACTTCCAACTTCCACAGGATATTGATTTTTAACTAACTTCTCAGGTCCAAGCGCAGTTTTTTGTATGTCTGTTTTCAAAAGCTTTTTTTTGAATTCTTGAGATTCAGGAGAAAAACTAAAGCAAAAAAATATATATATATATTTACATAAATGTATATATACATACATTTACATATATATATATATTATATATATATATATATATATATAATATATATATATATATATATATATATATATAATATATATATATATATATATATAAATATATATATATATATATATATATATATATATATATATATATATACACCTACACACCTACTCGCGCTGGCCATGTA